CACGACCCTGTTATTAAAAGCTCACCACCCCTTGCGCCTGTATTGTGCGCTTCGTATTCCATGTCTCGTATTTTTAATTGCTTATTTCCAGAGACAACAGTTCGCTTTTTCAAATACTCAAAACTATCACCGAATACTTCGCCACCAGGTTGACAGATAGAACAATTCCTCGATATTGTCAAACCCGCCTTGACCCAAACATGTCTGAAAACGCCGAAGCTACCGATTGCAACCTCACCGCACAACAAATTCCAACGCCCTACGTAGACCGGAAGAAGCTTCTGAATCAGCTTCAAAATCGCTACGGGGAGAAAAACTTCAAAGTTCAGGTAAGAAGTACTCCCCTGTTCCAACCAACAAACGAATAAACAGATGCTAACGCCTTCACAGCTGAAACTGAACAAGTGGACAGTCTTCGTCCCCGCGCATAAATTGATGAGCGAAGTTAGTACTCCGTATCTCCCACATCGAGCCTACACAGCTTACAAATGAGCAGAAAGAATTGAAGGACTTGTGCGTGTTCTGAAACCCAGAAACGAGAGATCCGCAGAATGGCTCAAACAGTACTCTTCTGTGGGCTATAGACAATATCGAGACAATAATGATTCGGAAACCGAATTCCAAAGGGGCTTCTACCGCATACGTTGCCACTGCGACGGAGGGGGGGCGAACTGCACGTGGTTGACTTGGAGCATTCTGTAGTGTTTTGCGATTTTTTGAAGGATTATTTTATGCACATCTCAGGTATCTACCATTTACCACTAATTCTTGTTGGTTGGAGTTAAAGAAGCTTTTAAGTTGCCTTTTTTCTATTTCTGAAAACTCTGCAGGCCGCAGCGCCTGCACCTTTTTTGCTGATACGACGGAACAGACTGCGTTTACATTTTTATTTTTAATTCGCAATTTGCACTGCATGAATGTATTCTGTCTTGGAGGTGCTCCTCAAAATGATCTGCTTTCAAAATTCTATTGGGCCAGCAGCATATTGCTAAGTATTGATGCTTTTCAAATTTTACGTACAAGTTGTTCCTTTGTCATTTGGGCGTATTATTCAACGATGCTTCACGGTATCATCCTCATATTTTATCGAAATATTTTTGCTAGCCTAAACACAAGTCCTCTACGTTAGTGGCTCTAGTGACTTGTGTCTACTGTAGAATGCTGCCCGAGTGTGATGCACTACACAGAGTACTACCTGATGTAACCAACAAGGAAATCTAGACCCCCTGAACCGACGATATCCTTACAGGCATATTACTAGATAGAATAGAATTTCAGAATCACTGCAGGTAGTTTCAATGGCACTACCAAGCTGATGTTTTACTCTTTCGATCGCGCCTGCTAGGACTAGTGAGGAATCAAGTGTGATCTCAAATGCTGTGTAGCATGTCATTACTGTGAGTGCAGTGCTACTGAATACAGATCCAAGTTTGACAAGTGTAGCCGCCTCACTGGCGTGCCCGGAAATAATATGCATTGTTGATTTCGAGTTAACACTTACTTGCAAAGAAATGCCTTCCTACCAGTTGTAATATCCTTACTTTATGTATTGCTGCCCAAATTTGCTTCTGATAATCACTATTTACGAAAAGGACGAGGCGTTCCCAAGCCTTCAACGAAAAAGAGCAAAGCTACGGAAATAATTCATCGAATCGGATGCTCTGTCTCTTCCTATAGGAGGTGTGGAGCATGCCACCAACTTAAATATTCGGAGGAAATGATGCATGGCATCTGAGAATCCAAAATCATCAAAGGCCAGAAGCCCTGGTGCACAGCCTCAGAGGTTCATTCGTACGGAGAATTCCAAGTATCATTGTTACATTGCCCCTCATATATACACGCACCACCAGCGCCGTAGCACTCTGACGCCGTCCCCGAAGCCGCAGACAGAGATTCGTTCAAATAACTCCGCCCTCCAAAATCAACCCCATTGCAGTTCGCTGAAAGATATTGCTGGTACGAAATTGACAGATCGCAGAATGTGTTGGACGATTCGTCAAAATGGGTACGCTGCCTACTACAGTCAATCATCTGCTCACACTAGATTTCGAACCCAAAAACTCACCAGATGTTCGAGCCAAATATGGAAATTACCGATCATGCATTCTTCTCATGAATCCTTGAGATGACAATCCCCTTTGCATCTTGCAGATCCCTTCGCCACTAACCCTCCCTCTCTCTTGATTGACGAGCATCATTCCCGTCCCTCTCTCGAATGTGAACGCCTTTCCAACTCATCCTCTGGTTTCGGTGGCGTCCACCCCTGCGGATGCCTATCCCTTTTATCAAAAAAGTCAGACGGGCCATTATCGTTATTGGGATATTCAAGCACCCATCCTGTCGTAAGGGTCTTCCATAACTTTTTGAGATGAGTGAACATATCGTGGTATTATTGTGATTTTTCCTGCCAATTTTTATCGATTGCTCTAGATGACGAAGAAATAAATTTATACCAGAGAACCGGAGACATGACTGTACATATATAACATCGAATGATCATCCCTTTATTAGTCACATGATAGCGAGATAGCGCGAGTTTGCCCCGACTGTCTCGCCGACTTCCTCCGAGCATGAGATTTTCCTCCTTGTCCAATCCAAAGTCGACAATTTGTCAAGGAATAAATGATTGACGTAGGGAAGTCTCACAATAACGTGAATGATTGATGGAATCTCATTCAGAGAGGATTGAGTAATCCATCTACAAAAGGTTTTGGCGTCAGGCTTGCAACTTGCATACCCGCAGGCAGAGGAGATCTTATTAGATTCGCGCCTTCTTACTAGCCGTCGTCCAGTTAATATCCGTTTCAGTGGGAATTCTATTCTGCGGGTCTGGGATGTTGAGTCGGGAATAGCTTCACGATTATATGGACACGGGACCACAAGACTGCCTCTAACCGTAATATCATTGCATAACCACCCTTTGTCTCTGTTACAATCTTACTTAGAGCGTCATTTGTATCTTTAGTTTGCTTCGAAGTTTGCTACCATCTGCTTCTTCTTCACTACCATCATCGTCTGTCCCCAACCATAGAAAAGTCAAAACCCAAAATCACTCTCAAATCCTCATTTTCAACTCACCGAAAACATCCCAACACGGAGTGACTTCAGAAAGCAAGACTATCATTGCTGACTCTCCCCTCCAACTTAAAGGGACAACCTACCTTATCACTGGTCCCAGTGAAGGAGGCTGCGATTTCCTATGCATATTTTTAGTTCTCCCGCGACCCTATTCTACTCAGAGGGAGAGAGAGAGAGGGAAGGAGGGAGATGGATTCGAACCATTTAATCAACCCAAAAGACATCATCAAGCCGGATCCCCTCCCCTATTCTATTCAAACGATTACCACCCCCGACAATCGATGCCATCCAGAAGAAAGAAAACGAGAATTGGGTAGTTGGCATGGAGGATGCGATGGATTTTTACCCAACTTTGAATCTTGCGCTGGCAGCGTGGAGGGGAGAGAGGAGAGGCATTTTGTGCTGGATTGAGAAATGTGCGGACGCTTGACAGATTATGAAGCTTGAGTGTGAGGGGGCAGGGCAGGCTGCTTGGACGCTCGTCCGGTGCTGATCGCAGGATTCGTGGGAGGGTGGATTGAGTTTGTGAAGAGAAGAGATCTATATTGACTCCATACCCATACCCCAACCCTAATTCTATTCACTTTTATATACATCTATTTTGTGATTCCAGCCTCCTTTTCAATCGCCACATCTCCAACGCCCTTGTAATCCTTGAGTACACCATCGATGCCATTTTCGACAGTCTTCCCATCTCGAACTTCCTCTGTGGTGGCCACTAGGATTCTGAAAGCCTTGTGAAGGAATCGTTCTTCAGCCAGCGGATTGGCACTGACCACCCGGATAGCATAATCACCCCCAACGACACCTGAAGTAAGGAAGATTTCTCCTCGCTTATTGATCAACTCATAAACTTCTTTGGTCAACTTATCCTGTTCCGCCTTTCCTCCGCTCTTCGTGACGATCTTGAACACCGTCAAAGCGAAGTTCGGCCCACTGATCATGTCGAAGATATCTGGTCTCGACTTGATCAATCCCGCAAACACTTCGCCGTACTTAATGTGCTTTCTAATATGTGCTTGAAGTCCATTGACACCATATGTCCGTAGCACAAACCAAATTTTCAGACTTCTGAATCGGCGCCCAAGAGGGATCTGCCAATCGCGGTAATCGGTGACAAGGCCACTGTCACTGAACTCGTTTCGGAGATAACTTGGCATGATGGAGAGTGCGTCAATCAAGTCTTTTCGCTTCCTGACAAAGAGACATGAAGCATCGAAGTTTGTGAGTAGCCATTTGTGCATGTTCATGTCGAAGGAATGGAAGTGCTCGAATTCTGCGGTCAGATGTTGGAATTCTGGACACACTAGGGCAGCACCAGCATACGCAGCATCAACATGCACCCAAACTTCCCCGGGAACATTGGCAGGTGCATATTTGGCGAGAGTAGCAGAAATAGAAGGAAAGTCGTCTACCGCGCAGGTTGATGTGGTCCCGAGAGTCGTCGTAAGGAAGAAAGGCTCTAAACCTTGGGCCTTGCACACTTTTATTGTTTCTTCCAAATATGCTCCCGTCAATGCAAAATCATCTTCTTTCGAGACAGGTACAGAGCGGTATCGGACTCCGCATATCTGTGCTGCCTTCTGTGTCGAGCTGTGTGCCATCTCGCTTCCCAATGCAACTATTTTACTCCTCTTGTGTGCGATCGCATCTTCGAGTTCGAGACCAGATAAATGTGAAGTCGTTTCTCGCAGATATTTGTCGCGGGCTGCCACCATAGAAGTGACTACTGCTTCTGAGGCGGAACCTTGGATGACTCCCCCGCCGTGGCTCGTGGAGAGGTAACAGTCTGGGAGATTCAGGAGTTTGGCAAGCCAATCTAGGACGACGGTCTCGAGTTCGGTGACGGCGGGGGAGCAGATCCAGTTGAATGCGGGGGCTGTGAAAGCTGCGGAGTAGAGTTCTCCTAGCATGCCGGGGAAAGAGGAGGAAGCAGGGAAGAATGCCATGAAGTTGGGAGATTGCCTAGACTTGTTAGCATCACCGTGGATTAGACATCTGCGTACATACCAATGAGTAAGACCGGGGATAATCTTTGTCTCCATATCTTTTTTGATATCTGCCCACGATTCTCCATCTTGCGGAGGTCCTTCCGGGAGAAGTTTCTTGAGATACCCGGGTTCGACATTGGAAACAACACGGCGGTCTTCTATCGTGTCGTAGTAATTTACAACTGGATTCGTTAACAAGCATGTATTGAAAAGGCCTATCTCAGCTTACTCTCGTCAATTGCTGAGGCAGCAGCTTCCTTGAACTGTTTGGAATCCATATTCGGTGGTTGCAAGGTGGGGGGTAAAAAGGAGGACAATAGTTTGATTGTAGAGAAAAAGGAGAAATAACAAACAGATTTCACTTAGCTGTCTGGCTTTATATTAACAACGAGCGACGTAGATATATTGATAAGGCCCGACTAGTGGTCTTTCAAGGGCGTGAATGTATTCAATGCCCTTTCATCGGTCAGAGAATTTGACCTGAACAGGTCAACAGCTCGTTACCAGATTCGCTAGCGCGGAAAACCCCCGCCTTGATATCGGTTCGGGTAAACCGGTTTAACCGGGCTACAACACCACTTACCTTCATAACACAGCTTCAACTATCCGCAGAATGACTCTTCAATAGGTAGATACGATTTATAGCACAGCCTCTTTCATCCGTGCTTACCAGACGTCTACGTCCGAATAGATGCGTGCCTCAAGGACAGCGTTATATCGCATATATCAAGTCCTAGGTCGGTCAAGTAGCCTTGATAGATTTCCCTAGAAGATTTAGCGAACTTACATTTTAAGCGAAGGGCATTTTCATTACTATAGTTGATATGATGTTCTCGAAAACGGTTGATTCAAACGAACTTACCGGTAGAATAGAAGATTTAGAGCAGCGGATGGGTCGTTCAGAAGCGTCTCTTAACCAAGTTATCCAGAATTCCCGCATACCAGTAGTAGAAAGCCATCATAGGACTATTCATAAACCTACATTTACAAGCCCGCCTATTCATGACGCCACTCCTTCGACCGCTTCTATTCAAAAGCCCGCCCAAACAAATGCGCCTATATACAAAACCGAAAGCACTCTCAACAGTTCACCGTTTGTATATCAACCTCTGGATGTCCGAGCCCGAGAAATTCGAGTACTGGCCCTACAAAGTAGCCTCAAGGACGAGGATCCTATCAGATGCGAACTAGTACACATTGGTCTCGATGAAGATATCACGACTTTGAGGGCTCTGCCTACTTTCGAACTGGTCTCATGAACTTCAATACACTCTCGTATACCTGGGGCGACCCGAACAACAATAGAGTTGTCATTCTCGAGGGTCATTGATTCCCAGTCAGAGAAAATCTTCATGCCGCTCTACGACATCTGTGTGATTTCAAGAACTAAAAGCCTTGATCTACTCAGTGGATGCCAAAATTCTACTCGCCTATATGGGTTTACCTTCTTGGGTTCCAAACCTCCTTGACGATTGGAAATCTTTGCCTTTCGACACGGCCTATCACATTCGCAACTGGGGAAGATTGTATAGGGGAAAACGTTTTTAGTTTCGGAGGACGCAACAAAAGTATTCTACAAGTCAGAGGCCGCCGAGTAGGCTGAATCAAGACTTTAGTAAACGCGCCCACCCAATCCGATTCTGCTAAGCAGCTCGAGGCCGTCCTTGCCAACTGGAAAGAAGTCGCCAATAAAGGCCAGCAGGCCAGGCAACGACAAGTACAGCCAGAGATTCTTGGAACTGCTGGTTGGAGGAATACTGGCTGAACAGGCTATCTCTGGGTGTCGATTCGGGCGCGGGTCTACGATACGCCAAAGATGGAAGACTTCTCCCTAACAACACACCTATGAATCACCATAATCCAAAAATGGTACAGAAACTTCTAGCGCCTAATGTGGAAACAGATGCAAATAGGGTTGGAAATGCACAAATCCATTCACGCTGGGCATTAGTTGGGCATTTTGGGTATAGGTACAGGCTAGTCGAAAATAAATATGGATGAGCACATCTCTAGCTATGATAGGATCACCGAGAGGCTGATACTTTACAGCAAAGATTACTTCTCTCGAATATTCTGCTGCCTATGGTCAGCAGGTACAGCATGTGAAGCTTGAATCTCCATCTATTGTTTAGTTATGATTGGGCTATTCGTACGCTACACATACTATCCAAGAAAAACGATTATTGGGATAAATATAGAGAGGTTCCAAGAGGAGGTTGTATATGGCGTTAAACGAGAAAAAGGGGGAGGTTGTCTAAACCGGTTCAATCTTGATATATTATTTTGGAGCCGAAAAAAACCAATTGAAATCAAAACCATTTCATCAGTAGCTTGAATCCCTATCGTGCGACGCTATACACGTAAATAGTCTGGTCAAACGGTATAAATAACCCCTTTCATTTGTCTTCTTTAGGTTAGGCGTCGCCAAGCGTCGCGCCAACCTCCGCCATGTGACAGCGCTCGAGGCTGTACCGTATCAAGGCAGTCATGAATCGCCTTTGAGTTTCAACTCACAAAGACCACTCATTCTACAACACCACAGCACAACGAACAGGCCAACAAACACACCCATCCTACCAGAGCCGCGAATATGAAGATCCACTACATCGGGGTAAGGTGCACAAGCTCTGCAATTCCAAAAGAACGACTAACTAACCGCCCATCTCCCACGTCTAGATACTCAAGAACGAGACCAAGCCAGCCCACGAGCTCTGCGCCGAGAAGGACCTAAGTGCCTACTCGCGCTTCACACGGAACAAGTACGCCTGGGCGACTCCAACCTCCCTGCTACAATACAACGGAAGATGTGGCTGATAGGAACCCAACAGCTATGGCGAGTTCATGACCATGTTCTGCAAGACAGTAGCAGAGCGCACCCGCCCCGGCCAACGGCAAGACGTCGAAGAACAAGGCACGACACCCCTTCCACCCATCCCATACCCCGCTAACCCATCCCCCCCTATCAGACTACACATTCCACGCCTACGGCCGCACCGAAGGAATCTGCGGCGTCATCATAACAGACCACGCCTACCCCGCGCTGGTCGCGCACCAGCTGCTCTCCAAAGTAGTCGACGAGTTCCTCGCCGCGCACCCCCGCTCCTCCTTCTCAAGCCCCAGCATAAACACCGACTCGAACCCCGCGCTCAGCTTCCCGGAGCTCAAGGACTACATTGTCAAGTACCAGGATCCGCAGCAGGCCGATAGCATCATGAAGATCCAGAAGGAGCTGGACGAGACCAAGATCGTGCTGCATAAGACGATTGAGAGCGTGCTGCAGAGGGGCGAGAAGATTGATGATTTGGTCGCGAAGAGTGATGGGCTGAGTGCTCAGAGTAAGATGTTTTATAGTGAGTTTCCCCCCTGCCTGGGTCTCCCCGTGCATGTGCGTTAGAGGGATGGAGCTGATGGATGGGTGTAGCGCAAGCGAAGAAGCAGAACTCGTGCTGTGTGGTTATGTAGATGGGTAGATTCGAGGGACTCAATAATACGGCGTTTTCATACCTTTTTCGATACTCTTCCAGCATAGCAATTGAAATTGTAAATCACGTTCACTGGTATCATCATGCAGAAGCTAGGTCTGGGCTTAATAATTGCAAGGAAATCTATTCAGGATATCCACTTATAACAAATCAAGAACTCCAAATTGTTTATGCAACTATTGTCTCGAGACCAAAACGCCACATCCAAATGCAAGTCATTATCCCATTCCCAATATTTGTTCCCAAAAAGGAAATCCAAACGCCACAGGGTATCCAAGCACGCACGCTCTCAAACACAAAATCAGCAGCACTTCCTCCTGGACTTTACAAGTGGCGCATCTCCATCTTCCGGTCCTTGCTCCGTATACAATTCCACAGGGACCCCAAACCAAGACCGCCTATCCCTCCCCACCCTAAAACTGCCCCCAGGTCTCCCCTGTCTCATCATGCCATCGAAATATCCTCCAGCCCCCTCCCCAGGTCCTCCCTGCTCCCCAGGCGTAATTCCCGGCGTCTGCGAAGCGCTCAGTAACTGCTGGCTCATAGCCTTATTTTGCTCGACCAACTTCCGCGTGATAACCCTAAACACCTCCTCCACGCCCTCTCCGCTCTCCGCACTAACCTCATGGCAGCAATCCCAGCCCACTTCCTGGCCCCAGAACCCACTGCTGCGCTTCGAGCTCGGACTCCTGGCGCCGTCGAGATTCGGTCCACCTCCACTCCCGCTGCCACTTGTAAACAGCTGTCTGTATCCTCCTCCTCCTCCTCCCCCGTTGGCAGGAGGTTCCAGGCCCGGTGTAGCTGTCGCGGGCGGCGTGGATGACATGCCTGGGGCCAGGTTCTCCGCTACATATGCGATGCAGCGCTCAAAAGGCACTTCCCTCAGACTCGGATCCCGCGCCACGACATCGGCTTTCGTGCCAACGACGTGGATGATTATGTCGGCGGGCAGGTTGCGACGGAGTTCGGTGAGCCAGGGGCCGATCTCTCCAAAGGAGGCTTGGTCGGTTATGCTGTAGCAGAGGATGCAGGCGTTGGCGCCGCGGTAGTAGATTCGTGATATGGCGCTGTGTTGCGTGAGTGAGTGTTAGCTTCGGCTCATTTCTTTGTGTGGTGAGGGGAATGGGGACACGAGGGAGGGGCGGGCATACCGGAATCGCTCTTGCCCAGCTGTATCCCATAGCTGCAGTCTAACGATAGTATCGCTCTCGACATCAATGATCCTCTTGCTCAAGAAGTTGGCACCAACAGTCGAAGTGGTGCTCGCGGGCGTGAACTGGTTCTTGATATAGCGGGTTAGGAGACTCGTCTTGCCCACGCCTTGTGCTCCCAAGACCACGATTTTGGCTTCGAGAGATTGCGCCATATCCTGTCCTCCAGTCCAGTCCAGTCCAGAGTCGCGCTGGTTTGTTGGGAGCAGGAACGAGGGAAGGAACTTGACGTTGCAGTTACACGTTTGCGCGTTGGGTTCGCGACGGGTATTGTGCAACAATCCACGGCTGGCTGGCTGGCTGGCGGTGCTGTGCCTTGGTCTTGGATCCTTTGTTTGCTTCCTTCCCGCGCGTGCAGTGCGTGCGTGCGAGCAGCAGCAGCTGAAATGTCTCACACCTACCTATCTATCTGACACGCCCCATCATGTGCATTCACAGAAAGTCTGTCGAGCGAAGACTCGGGAAGTAGTAATTCCAATACGATATACAACCAACTGTGCAGAAAGCAAATGTTGATCTAACGGCCCGTGTACAAGTAAACAAGTGCTTTTATCGTGGTGGAGATGAGTTGGAAATGAGGAAATGACGCGCCTAGCCGGGTGGGGGGATTTCTGCAGGCGCAGGGTCTAGTCTAGCAACTTAGAATCTACACGTGATTTGGCTCACTTGTTCTCGAAAGGGGAGTCTCATTAGATCTTATAAGATCGATTTGCAGGAGCTGTCAATTTTTATAGATCTCGTGCCTTTTGATAAGTTCAAGTATAGTCATGTGTTTTGTCGCTTTAGGCCCTCCCTCCCCCTTTCTTTCATCCTTTCCCCCTCAATTTCCGAATCAAGACCATAATATGGTAGAGCATCACACTTTGAAAGCGCTAGTAGATATACATAGCGTATGTCTTCTTAGTACATATAGGATGAGGAGTATCAGATGTTTGTTGCTATGGGATATGGTACCTTAGCAATGATATGGAGAGAAGATGCATTGGAAGTAAGTGCAAGAAGTGTTGAGGTTACACTATGCTAAGCACCAAAAGCACAGGTTCTAGATCTAAAATATGTCATGGATATATACAAAGTCATTGAGAGAATAGTCTATGCGCCGTTATATTTCAACGCATGCATATATCACAACTTCGACTTCTCCTTGGGATTGACCAACGGATCGTAAATAGAAAGACCCTTCAAACACGTTAGCACCAGTTACACCTCCAGAAGTTTGCGGAAGCTTACCAAAGTATCAATCGGCACGCTAGTTGTATGCATACTCAGACCCCTCGTATCAATCAACGTAGGGTTCAGCTGATCCACACTCGAGCACCCAATGAGTCTCATGTTCATTTCCATCTCATCCTTCAACAACTGCATGGCGCGGTCCACACCCGGCTGTCCATACGCACTCATAGAGTACAGGAACGGCCGTCCAATACCCACACCCTTCGCACCCAAACACAACGCCTTGATAATATCCGTAGCGCGTCTCACGCCGCCATCGATAAAAACCTCAATCCGGTCTTCCCAGTTCCGCTCCCGCAGCACAGGCATAACTTCGGCCAGGACCTCGACACCCGAGCGAGCGAAATCGAGTTGGCGGCCCCCGTGGTTGGAGAGCACGACGCCTTGGACGCCGGCTTCAACGGCGCGGATGACGTCTTCGACGCGCTGCACGCCTTTGAGGATGATGGGCATCTTGGTGATGGATTGGAACCATGGGATATCTTTCCAGCTTAGAGCCGGGTCGATAAAACTGCTGATAGCTCTTGCAGCACCCTGCGAATTATCTGTCGCAGCTCCGCTTTGCACATTCGAGCCTACATCTGTGAACTTGGAGCGCATATCTTTCTCTCTACGGCCTAACTGTGGTGCGTCGACTGTAATGAATAGGCCCTTGCAGCCGCGTGATTCGGCATGCTGCACAATCTTCTTGGTGATTTCCCGGTCCTTGTTGACGTATAGTTGCATCCATTGGACCTGATCGCCCTCAGCGGCATCCATAATTTCATCAAAGGAGCACGAGGCGAGGGTAGGAATCATTTGCACGACGTTGTGTTTCTTAGCTGCTCGTGTGAGAACGACTTCTCCCTCGGGGTGGCCTAGCTTTCCGAGCGCGGTGGCGGTTACGTAGAAGGGGATATCGCATTTTGTGCCGAGCATGGTGGTGGAGAAATCTATCTTCTCGACGTCGACGAGGACGCGGGGGCGGAACCATATTTTGTGAAATGCGGAGTGGTTTTCTCGCATTGTCTGTTATATTTAGTATTGGGACTTGGACTTAGAAGGAAGGCTTACTATTTCATCATCGGCACCGCTAGAATAGTATGCCCATGCGCTCTTCTTCATAACACTTCTTGCCACCGCTTCAAAATCCATCAGGTTAAAACATTGCTCCAAAATTGGCATGCGTGCAATTCGGTCCTGTCTCTCTGCTTCTTCTGGAGATTCTTCCTGCTCCTCTTTCTCTACTGTGGACATGTCGACTGCACCCAGGTGCTTTGACTTGTCGAGGTACTTGTCGAGGGTATCAGGAGGATGGATGGGTTCGAATTCTTCGGTAGCATCTTTGCCCTAGAAGTAGCACTGTCAGTCGTGTGCCAGAAGTCATTCCTGAAGGTGCACTTACAGCATATTTTAAGATGATCTTGGGTCCGCCAGGATGTTCTTGAAGCTGTCAGTAAGTAGGTGTGCGTCGCGTTGGGGGGATTGAGGGGTCTTCGGACCAGGCAAGAATTCCGTAACATCGTATGCTTTGCCCTGTCCAAATATCAGTAAATTGCCACCTCCTGAAGCTCAGTGTACGCACATGAACAATAACCCAACATGACTCTCTCGAGTTATGCTTCGCAATCTCTTGCCCCGTCAACCCCATTTTCGCGTGTGTGGTGTGGTGTAGAACCGAGGTCACCTCGTTATCTAGGGGTGTGAAGAGTAGAAAGAAGAATCGTTGCGGAGGAAAACAACAAGAGAATAACAAGAGATGGAAAGCGCAAGGCAAGTAGCCAAATATTTGTATCTCTCCAGTCGCGGCGTTAGAGCGCGGCTGATGACGAGACGAGACGAGGTCGGGGTGAGAAGCTCTCTTTCGGCAAGTCAATCCAGGCCCAACCCCAGATGCTGATTTCGCGTTTCGGACGAAAGGCTCGCGAGGTCGGGGATAGTTGGAATTATTTATTTTCAACGGTAGGTTTATCTATGAAGATTGACATTTTATTGTACTGTATTATCTTATCTACTCTTTTCTAGAAGCACTTGCGTGTTGCATTTGAATCTCTTTGTTAACGACTTTTCTTACCTAAAGTATATTTCCCTTTTCGTATCTGTTCCCCGCCCAGTTCCGTATGCGGGGCAAGAGAGCAGGCCTCGGGATAGACACGGCGCGGGGATATATATATATGGATCTCCAATCACACGATGCCAATTGCCATTCATTGCTGACTCAGCTCACCGCTCTCTCCACTCCTTGAATTGCCGGGATTTCCGTGACCTTCCTTTTACTCCGTAATTGAAAATATAAAGGAAAATGCAAGCTATTTGCAGCTTCCGTCTAGCTGATATGCTAATGTTTTATTTTGGTATGTTATCTGCTTTCCTCGCTTTTCAAAAGCCTCTTCATAATATACTTACTGGAGTTGACAATTCATCCACTTGCAATCAGGGAGTTAAGGATAAATCAATCCTCAGCTTATTATAATGGCCCAATCACCCATTTAAAAAGCATTTCAATTTGTTTACAAGCCCATAAACTACTTCAAAACCAACAGCCAGCCCCTTTTCACTCGCTCAAGCGAACCTAACTAGCATCAACACCTCCAAACAACTCACCAGCAAAGATCTACAAACACATCTTTCGTATAGGTATCCCAAGAGTCCAGCAAAAGTCCTCGTAGCTAAACTACTACGTTCCTCTCTCGGTCTCAGCTAATGCGGTGCTCCTTCATTATTGCATTTCGAAAAGTACAGCCGTAGTTGGAGATGTGCTTCTACAACAACTTGACTTGACCCCCGCGATATTAGGCGACATAATAACAATACCGCGCGCGCGGAATACTGTGTAAGGGTGTCCTTGGCGTTGTGATGTTGGTTCTGACATGTATACGTATATCCTCCTCTAAAGACTAGCTTACAATCCTAGCTACGGTCCCGATCGGGCTCTCCCTCATCAGATCTCTTTAATCATCCTTGCAAGACTATCATTTCGTAGCCTTATGGTTGTACTGTTTCTGCTGCCTTATAGTTGTGACAGTAACCGTCGAATGTGCGAGACAGCATTGTCTTCGAGATGGCCAGATAGGGTTATTTGGTTTTTGTCACCGAGAACCCGGAGATAGGAGGAAGGCTCCTTCTTCAAGCTGGTGGTTCGAGGTCCTATGGTGATGCTAATGGACGTTGGCATCGTGGTGGCTGTCTATGCTGGGGTTCCGGGCGTCGGGAGGATATCTGGGTTTGTTTGAAGTCGCCAAGCTGAAAATTGGCTGCATGGCCACCGGGCCTGGGATATCCAAGGACAGGAGAAGGCAAACTGTCTTATTTTCAAGACAAGTAGTTGGGCATGTAAGTCTACATGCATGGCCTAGCGTCAAGCGATGAACGCCCTCCCCACCAGTCTTTTACTTCTCATTGTTGTTGTATTGAAATTGGCGGAGCGCGTTAAAGTAGAATTGACGCTCGACGGCTGCGATACCACTTCATCAAGTGTCTTGGTCTTGATCTTCTCGATTGAGCTTGTAACTCCTCCCACGATACCAGCGATCATAGCGGATATGACGATGATGAGTATGAATCTAGCAAGTGTTAGCCCTTGACTTCTTCACACGAACCAATATATAATCGTCTACCTCAAATCAAAGTTTGGATAGAGTGTGGATAATTGAGTAAACAAGGGAACATACTGTACAATACGCGATTCTTTGCGGAGTTCCATCGGATTGATTATGAGTATTTGGTCTTTAATTTGATTCATACTTGGCCATTTGAATCTACATATAGCAGACCCTGCCAAAATCTCTGCAAAACATACCACACCACCCAGTATGAGACTTTTGTCTTGAGGCATGACACATAGTCAGCGCTGCACATAATATAGTCCACTACTTGGAGGTTGAGCATGATTCTAACACCTTAGATCTCTCCATGGGGGGCGATCAACGATTGTGGCGTGGTGTATAGGGCGCGTTTCCGGAAAGGCGGGACGAGAGGCATTCGTCGCTGAAAAGCGGGTTACCTTATATTGCACCTGATTGGAAATGAGGTGGTATTTTCATATTTGGATAATTCCCGGCCCTATGAAAATTGTCAGCAGGGGCCGGTAGATACAGTACCATTCAAGTGTGAGGGACCCAGGGGCTTACCATCAAAAGTATCAATTCTTCCACATTTCCATTCAGGTCGGCGAATCAACCTTGACGTGATTATTTGCAGCTTTACATTCGTCGTCGCAAGTAGCAGCAAGAGCCCGCAAAGCCTTCACTTCTCCCAAGAGCACCATATACTCTGCATTCAAAGCCGTATTCCGAGTTTGCGCTTTCCTGACGTCCTGTTCCAGTTTGCCAACCAAGTCTTTCTTCCGCGACCTGCACTTGCCAGCTGCCACTCGGTTCCGTTCCAAGAATGCAGTTCGCTTGCGGTCTTTTTCCTTTTGGCTAACTGGTCGACGCTCCCTATATTTCTTCCGCGACTTGACCGCTTTTCCAGAGTCGTTGGAGAGGGCCGAATTCGAAGGGGTCTGTGACGTTCCCTGTCTCTCTGACATGGGCGGACTATCTGGGAATTCACATTGTTCTTCCCTACGGATCGTTGAGTTATCTGTTTGCAAGTATTTCTGGATGGACTTCGTACATGGTAGATTGAAATTTGAAGTCTTGCCCATCTATTTCCATTTCGTCGGGTGTCATGGGGAGGGGGAGGCTCCATGGGTAGATATTTGGTTGCCTTTCTTTCTGAGCGTTGATGTCATTTAGGTTTGATCTTTTGAATGCTCGGTCGAAGACATTATCGTCGGGGTCGTCGTATCGATGTTGCGAAGCCTCAATCTCTTTTATATCAAGGCAGGAATAGAGGAAAGCGGTTGTTGGAGAATGCAAGGAATTTGATCCCATTCCCAACTCCATGTTCATGTCTAAGTGGTTTGGAGGGGAATATATGCTTCCTTTTTTTTGTTGCTACAAATTTTGGCGATGGGGGGTGCATTGCTCGAATAAGTACCTACCGTTGTATGAGCGCCCTGACTTTTCCTGTACCACCACCAGCTACTGAACCAATCCCTCGAGGGAGGGGTTCTCGGAAGTCTGGAAAGGAATGGTCGAGACCAGTCTATTAATTTGCAATCTTGGCAGCAAGCGCTAGGAGAGCGCCACCGACCGCCACATGCTCTGTGCGACATTCTCGCCACTGTGGCGCTGTACAGACTAGGCCTAGTATACCCGCGATACTTCGACTAAGACGACGTCAAGGTTTTAATACCGTCTTGTACGACCGATTGGTTCCTCTAAATGCATATCCAAATGCAATAGTAAAATGCTCAGACCAACTTTAAACACCTCAGGCCAAACCTCATTGAGACGGTGCGGGACAGGTAACCCTGAAAAGCTGAAAGCAGTTGCAGGTGCAGGAGCAGGACCCTGAAAGCTTAAATTAGCCTAGACCCCTAATCTGCATAGTCGCTGTACAGTACAGTAATACCGGTATTCCAAGTGAGCTGCTATGTACGCAAATACGATCTGTATTATATTATCCTAAATCCCATTAATTTTACACCGCATTGCAACACACATACCTACTCGTACGATGCTCAAGCCCACGCCCACGTATCGACCTACCCCGCGCCAAGAAACCTTGTTAGTACTAGGCCATTCTTAGAGCTCTGTTAGTGACAACCACCTAAGTGTTTAACTTTCATCCGGCGCGCAGCCAAAGCCTCGGAGACGTCACGTGGACGCGCATCTCATCTCCAAGGCAGGAGATCGATCGGTTTGTTGGGCAACTGGGCATGGCGGAGTTGGACCGTGAGCCCGCGTATGCATACGGAGTATAGTATGACCCCTCCCTTCCCTCCTCTGCAAACGGCATACTGCTTCATTACACTACTTATGCTAGATTTACCTAGTTTTCATTCGAGAGAGCCAAGCCACACACGGCTAAAGGTGGCTTGTGGCGGGCTTTAAAATTAGGCCTAGTCTGCTCGCATCGCTAAGGCTGTTCGCATGTGGAGAGAAAAGTACATCCCCGCGGGAGACTTATCGAGTTCCTCACGTGCCCCATTTGAATTCGTCTTCAACATCGGTTCAGTCGAAGACTTCTGGTTCATACTGTCTACTGCTATCAACAGAGGTGTAGGTAGATCTTGACTTTTAATCTAGCAAGGGACTTTCAAAATAAGAGATCACTTCATACATAAAGAAAAATGCAGATATATTATAACCATCATTTGTTGTTGCTTTAATTAACTTCTCTTAATCCATACACGCTAGCTCCAAAAACTCTTTGGATGATATAGAAAAGCATCACACTGAGCATCACACACCGAGACCAGCTCTCGCAATCCCCGAACCTCGCTCAGCAGGTCATCATATTGTGTCCTCAGCACCGTATTATACACCTGCGCCGCCCGTATATCTTTCTCCAGCTGCTGCTCTACCCCCTTCTTCTTGGACCGGAATTTAAAGGCGGCCACCTTGTTCTTCTCGAGGAACGAAACGCGCTTCCGCGCTCTCTCTTCTTCCGACGGCTGTTTGCGCTTCTTGTACTTTTTGCGCGCCTTTTCGGGCTTCTTGGCGCTGGCAGTGGGGGAGAGTGGTGAGGCGTCAATGCTCAGAGCTGGTTCTGGTTCTGGTGCTGTTGCTGTTGCTGTTGCTGTTGCTGTTGCTGCTGCTGCCACCGTTGCTGTTGGAGGAGATGTTGGGAGGTCGGAATCTATCTGCGAGCTGGTAGAGATAGATGAGCGATCATGGGTTGTCAGCGTATCAGCGCTCGTTGTTGTTGAGTCGGAGACGGTTGAGAATGAACCAAAGTTGAACCTAGACCTTTGTCAATTAAAAGGACCCTACTGAATACAATCGGTGTGCTTTACGCTGCTGCTTCGGGGAATCGATGCTGTGCATGGAAATCCATGTCCCGTGAGATAAACATATATTCTGCTGCTGCTTTCTCCTGCTGTTCGAAATAATCATTCGCGCTGAGAAAGCCTTGGAAGGGTTGAGTGGAGCCGTATGCATCTTGGTCGTCTTTGATTCTCAGAGGGGGTGCAATATAATTATCAACGAGCGCTAAATCCGAAGGCGAGTAGAGCTGGTGCAGCGAAGCTATGGTGAGTGTCATAGAACTATCCATTATCTGCAAAAAGGCGAGTTTCCATCCTCACTCAAAACTGCTTCTGCTAGATTGATTGCTTGCTTTATATACAGTATATGCCGGCCGGTAGATCTGATAGCCGCCGTTTTTGTGAACTCACTCCTATCACATCATTGGGCCGTCACTGTCTCAGGGACCCGCTGATTGACCTTCGTAGGAACTATGTACAACATGGGCTGTTCCGGTTGTGATAACTCGCACGCAAACGGACGGTCTAGTCCGATACGATCAAACTTCCAAACTCCCAAGTCGACTGCCGATGGTATTTAGGAAAGGGGAGGGGGACATTTACAGTACATTCTCGATTAGCGAGCTATCTAACTACCCACCTTAAAGAAGGTTCTTCGGAAAGAAGAAAGATTCTTGAAGATCATTTCGGGATCAGTGCGCTTAGAGTTCGGGTCTGGCTGCTTCAGGGGTAGCTCGGGTAGGTAAGTAAATAAGCGGAGAAGGATGTATGACGACGCGGCGCCGGCCATCACGCCGAAACCATCAATCCAAGCTTGCCAGCTTGCCTTGCCTTCCCCTCCAATGCCTTCGATAACCTGTCCCGTCTCTTCTTATCGGAAGCTGTAATGGGACTGGCTCTCCATGGCCAATTAGCTAACAGGCTTTGTGCCCGTCCGGAAACTGTCGCTCTGCTGTAGCAGATGAAGATGGGATAGCAGGTGCTTAATTCCACATCACCTGTTGCTATTTTCCTATAATAGGCCTGGGCTACTCTGGACCTTTGCAATGCCGCACTGGCGTAAAGCTCAAGATTGTAAATATCGAGGGTCTCTGAAAGAAGAGCAGATCAGAATAGTTTCTATCAGATGATCCCTATCTAGATCTCTAGTGCACGTGTTATACCCTTCTAGTGTTGTTCAACACGACTCGGGGTACAACATCTAGCCTTATTCGCAACGAGAATACCAGATCCTACAATTAGCTTCCTTCGAATGGTCATCGAGGTCCGCTGGTTTTGGAAAATCCGTCATAGTGAGCTGCGCTACAAGTCTCGCTTACCGCTTAGCTATCGATAATAGGGGAGGGGGAGGGGTACTTGTTGCAATTGCTCCACCAAGGTATCAAGATCCACCCCTTTGGAGAGTGCCCACTGGTCCCACTGCTATTCGAACCACGGCTGTATACAAGCATAGCGTATATGAATGAGCCTCTACTGTTTACGCTGGCCTGGTAATGGCATAGATCTACGTACTGTACTGTACGCCAACTAGTAGAGAGTGTAAGGCTCAAAAGTAAAGGCGTAGCAGGGGATGGTAAGTACTTATTATGGATCACTCTACTCCGCATCCTTAATCCAACGTTAATGCGGGGTAACGTAGTTCTATAATGACCATGCACTGAAGTCAGCGATCACTGCTTGTCTATCCCACGAGTATGAAATCCTTGATTCCTTACTGTCACTAATAACTATGTTCGGGTTCAATCAAGAAACGTCAAAGATTCAAAGTGTTGCCTTGCTATATATCACGCACTTTAAAACTCATCAGCTCATAACTATAAACTGTTTTGCCCACATGCTCCGAATGATAAAAGCTGTACCCGGAACGTAGGATTCGAGTCATACCGATTTATATGTGCCTATCCTCCAAGTTAGTGCTCTTCCTGTAAAGTGCCTCTTCAAGAGCTGGCAATAGCAATGGGTTGCCAGCGCCTCAAATCATACGTACGTGTATTACGAATGCAAGCTGTCTTTCTAGTCCCTAGCAGGAATGTTACCTCTAGCACAAGTAGCTGACACAGGTAATAATAATACTATGTGCACGTGGAATATAATGGCTGGTGAGTTAGGTTCAATTCCATGCGGCTAGAAACTTGTAGGGGGTAAATGTTCCTTGAATCCTTTCAATTTCAATATTTTGCTCTTTCTCATCGGCATTACCGCCAATTATGAATAGGATCGCGTGGGAATATTACTAGAATCTGGCGTTGTTTGCCTTTATACCTATGTTCAGACATTCCAAGTATAGTAATGCTAAGCGAGCGAGCATAAGACTAACTTTACGGAGGAGGTAGTTCTTACAAGTTACAAGTCAGTATTATAGTGCCTAGTTAGGTAATTATAGGCTATTTTAGGACATTTTTAAGTGTGAATCCGGAGCCTCATTTCACCCTAACCCTTTCAACCAGTGTACGGATATAATGTACAAAGCCGAATCCAAGCCACACCTTGGATTGCGCAGCGCATCGATGATGGAGAAGTTGGTGTTGGGTTGGGTTGAATGGATCGTCGCAAATTGTTAGGATTGGAGGACCACGCTATAAGGTCAAGTACGGTAGATAAGCATGAATGAAAGTCCGAAGGCCCCACATACGGTAATAATCAACTGGCCTCTTCTGCAAGGAATAGGAGAAGGTTTACCAAGGAAGATTTATAAATTACAACAATAGTTATAGTTATAATAATAATAACACGAAGAATCTCCCTTGACCTTACGGACTGGACGCGGTGCTAAAGATAAAGAAACCGTGGATCAATGGAAGCCGTCGTATCATTGTATGTAAGTGAGTCGATAAAGTTCGGTGAAGAAGTGATAATAAGATGAAACCCAATTCTGCTGCTGCTGCCTGCAAGATCTTAGGGTTCCATTGGAACTCCCGTACAGTACGTTCCTGCTCCAGTAACGACTAGTAACATGCTAAAGGAAATGATCCTCAACTGTATATAAGAACTGTTAGTTAATACTAGGACACTTATATAACTATATAATGCACTAGATATATAATCCCTCCAAGGCCATTGCTTCTGCTGCTGCCGCTGCTTCTGCTCCTGCCAAGAGCCGTGAGACCAAAGAAGGAAGAGAGAGGGAAGGTGATCTTATAAGGTCCCCATCTAGCTTTCCCTACTACCAACTAAGCATAGACGACCATCCTCAAAGATCAGGCTTGAACCGTGGGCGGGTTTGATGAATAATTCTTTATCATAGTGCTGTGGTATTGTAATATGATATTACTTCTATGTATAATATGTATGTATTATATCCTTCCTATAAACCATCCTCTTCCGATCCCCATATGAAAACCCGCCTCCTATCATCATCAAATCAAACACTGGGTATAATAACAAGCAATCAATCCATCCATCCAAAGCGCCAAACGCCCTTCTTTCCTCCCTTCCCCACTCCCTCCTTCCACCTACTCCAACCCCATCTCATTCCCAGCTCCCCCCCTTATAATGAATCAAATTCCCCCAAAACAAAACAAGATGAAATGAGATGAAAGAGCTCTCTATACTAGTTCATGCGTACACCCCGTCGAAACCGTCATCGTTATGCGTATAATGCAATGCAATGCAATACCCCAAGCTCCAAATCCATGCATGCATGCCTAATGCGCCCGCCCCCAAAACAAAAGAACGAACTAAAAACGAGAGCCAGAATGGCGGGTATGATATGATATGAGAATATATAGATCGAGACCGGACAAACGGAATGGCTTGCCTGCCTTCGTCGCGAGATTGACATGTGACGAGATGATATGTAGTCCCGTCCGCTAAAGTGTGTGTGCAGTGTCGTGAAATTCGTAACTTCAATCCCCCCTCCCCCCTCCCTCGTCCTACTCTTGAACAGCCTCCAAATCATCATGTTTACTAGGTCCCGGCTGCGGCCACTCAACAGGAGCGATAGCCGCAAACTTGACACCCTGCTCCATCTCCAACGTCTTCCTCAACATCTCTTCAATAATCCCCCATCTACGCCGCAACCTGACTTGCCTCTCATGAAAAACCCTTGTGAATCCATCTTCATCATTAGCAAAACTCTCGTCCAGAGCTTCCAGCTCTTCGCCTCGTCTAGCTGCCAACTTTTCCAGCTCGTCTTCTTGACGCACCAAGAGTAATTCCATCTGCTTGGCTTGCTTGTCTCGCATCACGTTGATCTTGCTCTGGTGCAGACGCTCAAGATCATCCCGGACGTTGTACTGCTGGTCCAGCTCCCGTAAATCGCGTTCAGTGACTACGCGCGCAGGATTGCTTCCGCTGGCATTGCGGCCAAGGCCATCACAGTATGCTTCCATGTGTCTGAGACGGATCCGTACACTGCGCTCGGCTTGCTGATGGCTTTCCCGGAGTTCCATCTCTGCGCTGACTTGTCGATCTTCTAGGTGGGCGGCCGTTCTAGCATGTCGCTCTTTCATTTTCGCATGCATCTCATCGTACTGATCGAGGATATTTAGCTTGGCCTGCCCAAGCCGCGTCCACATGATCCACCTCATCTTCCTTTCGAAAGCACAAAAGCGTTCCCTCTCATTGATCTGTTGTGCTCTTAATGCGTTTAGCTCTCGACTCTGCAAAGTTCTCTCTTCCGCTTCAGCTTTCTGGGCAGCTTCTAATCGTTCGGCTTCCTCTCTAGCAGCATTTTCGGCCTCGAGTTCTGCAATACGTGCTTCTTCCTCCAATCGTCGACGCTCTAGCTCCTCTTCGCCATTACAGTAATTTGGACAGCCGACCACAGGATCCCAGACCGCGCCGCAGATATAGCAGAACTGCGCTTTGCACCGACAAGTTATATGACTACATCCTTGGGTCAATTCTACGAGCGTCCGGCATTTATAGCAGCGTCGCCAGCCAGATTTCTCCCCCATTTGCAGGACGGCATCCAGTTCCCAATCGGCTGGGCAATCATGTCCAAAACCATGAGCAGGGCGTTTACAAGTCGAGCAAGCCCTGGTTCTGCATTTCCGACAGACAACTTCAAACGGGTGCTTTGGGTCTATCTTGCTTCGTTTGGGTATAAAGTCGCCACATGCTGGATTTGGGCAGAAAACTCGTTCTTCCCATGGAGTGCTGAATTGTAGAACGCTCTTTATAAAGATCTGCTGCTCTTCTTTCTCCAAAACTGACTTGATAATCGTCCCAGGTATAGGTCGTGTGCAGCATCGCGGTGGCATCTTGGATTCATCGTTTGAGGCTTGCGTGATCAAAACTCGGAGACAGACTTCGCAGTAATTGTGGTTGCAAGGAAGGGTATGTAATGCTTTGCTCTTTTTAAATTCGTTTCGACAGCAAACACAGGAGCTATCTTGTCAGCCGTGGTCGATACGCCTTTGGCACTACTTACTTTACACTCGGCGGGGATGCATAACTCCTCCTAAATCGAAGCTTGGCCTGGACATCCTTCTTGAAACGCTTAAAACTCTTCAGAGACCGTCTCGTTGATACCGAGAAAAGCGAGGGAGCAGGCGAGGGGGCGATTGGGGGATAGACGGATCCTCTCAGAGCATGATCTTGCGCCTCGGTGTTTGCGATATATTTCGTATACTCGGAAAAGGATAGGCTCTTCTTTGCGATCAACCTTCTCTTCGTTTGTGGCCCTGCGGCATTGTCCGACGGCTCATGCGAAGAAGTCGATGATATTCCAGTCGAGTTGCTCCCCTGCGATCCAGAGGAAGATGTCCTCGCATGATGCGATGCCACAGTGACGGCAGATTCGCGCACTGAATTATAAGCAACATTTTGATCCTCCTCTGCAGAAATGGCAGGTATCGAGACGCCGAGGCACTTGGCGTCTTGTACGAGGGCATCTTCAAGGAGAGCTTCCGTCAGGCCATCCTCTAGGTGTAGCACCTCGCGAAAGTAGTCGGCGTCATTGTATTCCAACGGCACAGGTCCATCTGGATGTTGGACATTGGCCAAGGCAGGTCCCATCATGAATTTGTAGAACAGGGTTTGCGCCGCCTTGGCTGCGACATTCGAACGAGAACGAGTGGTACCGGACCGGTCTCACATCACAAGGCGTAGTGGGGTTGATGGTTATCGATGCAGTACGGCCCGCACTGGTGCAGATAAGCAAGACAAGACGAGACGAGACGGAGACGGAGACGAAATGCGCTCTCGTTGAGAAGGGATGGGATTATGGTATGGATAGGAGAGGTGTGTGTACGTGCTTGGAAAGAAATAATGCAATACCGGGCGCGGCGCGGCTACTCTGCCAGGGAATCATGACAATACCGTATGGAAGTGATGTCCACTTGAAAGTGATCACGGGCACGGCTGAGTGGTGGGCGATAAACGTTGGTGGATTCAGGTTAGGGAAGCGCAGCTACCTGCTCCGAACCTACCCTACCGGCGATCAACTTAATCAGTACAGTAACAGTGACCCACAGTACCTACAGTACTCCATCCAGACGTCTATTGAAATTATCATTCGCGAGTATATATACAATACATACCTACCTCATCTATAATCTCCCACTTACCTCCTTCACTCGTATCTCAGTTGTGGTCATGTACCACCTACCTACCTACAGTACTTCCTACACCTCTTACCTCTTACCTCTTACCTACCATACTGTACCTAAGCTTATCGCCATTCAAGCCACCGACACATGCATGTCACGTACGGATCCACGTCTCCGAGCCCCATCCTCATGCATTAGAGCCTTTCCCGAATCCCATCCCTAACTGCCAAGGAATCGCGCGGCGAAATACATATAGTAACGTGACCTAGCCTGGCGCTTAGAACTCCCCCCCTTCCCCCGATCATTCATACCACACCTCCAAGGTGGTAAGGTAGTAGCGGATAGGATAGGATAGGATACTTGGAGTGCAAGAAGATACCTTTAAGGCGTCTGAATTTCATTTCATCTATCATGTCGCCTGTGCTGTGGAGTATCGTATCTATCTATTCAAAACTCATTACTTATACCTAAAATGTGCAGACTATTATACAATACACGTATTGCCCGTTCTCATCTCATCTCAGAAGCCAAAATCCATTCTGTAAGAACTGGTATTGTCTCTCTGCAACCGTTCATTGTTCTGCTGCTGTTCCACAGACCCGGGTCCCGGAAATTGTCGAGACCCTGCATCAGTACTTCCTCCCATACTACCGTACTGGAGATAGACTGGTGGATCATGTAGTGTTTGTTGCTGTGCAATGATATCCCTTCTCTCTTCGTCACTCGATGATGTACCGAAATTCATACCGCCCCCCGGAGCACCTTCACCTCCACCTCCATCCTCACTAAACATATGCATCCATGGGTCGTCGTATAACCCATGCACAGCACCGATGTTGGAGAATCGGCTTATAGCCTCAGAATAATCGAGGGGATTACCAAACATTCCCGAGTATCCTTGATCGTAGGTTCCGGTAAAAGGCTGGAATGACGTGGACGCATGCTGCGGTGGTGTCCAATATGGAGGTTGAGGTGCCGCCGGCATGGAGACTATAGGTTGCGTGTTCTGAAACTGACGAAGGTGGCCTTCAGTAAGGTCCACGGGAGGTTGCCTCTGAAGACGCGTCTGTGATTGGAACCCTTTCTGAGATCCACAAGTCATGCCACGTCGCCACTGGTAGCCCGAAGGAATAGGGACTTCCGTGGGCATATCGATGATTGAGGGGTGGATGACGGGCGCTACCAGTCTGATAAGTTTATCGAAGATCTCCCAGGCTTTTCGTGCGGATATAAATTGCCCGGACATCATGGCTAACCAATTAACCCCTTTCCTTGCATCTTCCAGGATGTGTGTGCTTTCGCTTGGCATGTGTTGCGATTGAAAGGCCATTTCAAGCATTAAAATGGAAAGTGCTTCACATAGGTTGTTCAATATATTCCACCACGGAGGGATGGTGTAGATTTTTTCGTTACTAGTCGCCGACCAGGCGAGTAGAGATATCATCTTGCGTGCAGATGATATGCATTCTACCACAGCGTTTTGAGAAAAGTTTTGCGACGACTCGGATTGGTTTTTTATGCGGCCTTCGAATCGGCAAAGACAAGGTCGGAAGAGGATCATGCGCGAGCTGTTAAAGAGCATGGCAAGCCCAGTACGCTGGAGCAGCCAGGGATCGTTCCAGTCCGGCTCATTGACGGTGTCAAAGTCAACATTGAATTCGATAGGTAGATTCTCTTTCCAAGCTTCAAGTCGATGATCGATTCCACGGATGATATCTTGGACGTTGCTCCATTTCTCCTTGATTGTCGATGCGCAGTAGAGTTGCGTAACGATTTCGTGGGCAATTATCGAGAGTTGGGTACGGTAAATGAAATATGTGGAGGTGGTAATCTGTAGCTGGAGAATGGGGAACATATATGCAAGTGGTTTTACTCCTGTGGCTATACGCACTATTTGCGAAAGGTTAGCTAGTTTTGGCAGGAACATTTTGGAAAATGCTTACCCCGAGATGCTTTAGAGTCTTGACGATTGCATGGTAGTATTTGAGGACTCTGAACGTCCCCCGTCCTGTCATATAATACTTGGCCTAGATGGAAATCCTCCTCGTTGATGTTTACCGGCAGCGGTACGCTGATATCTTTATCAGAAACACAGCTTGGTCGACCAGTGCTCTCATTCAGTGAACATTCAAGGCCATATAACGACCACCAGATTCGGACTCGATGCTCCTTCTCCACATCAGAAATTTCCGGGACCTCACTGCGCAAATGCAACCCAAGAGTCGTGGCGTCTCGAATTGCGAGTCCGCATATTGTCCAAGCTCTGAAAGTATCAATATTCTGCAAGTAGACGCTGGTTCAAAAAGGCATACCTGTTTAGTCGGCACGTTGAAACATAATATAGACATAATAGTCCTAGAGCGCAGACTGTGGAGACGCGTGGATCCTGGTATAAAATGCTTTCACCCATACACAACAATTTGGCACGTGCTATATACAGCAAATGATCATTGTGATGTCCTCGACGCGGGCTCTTTGTCAGATGTGCAAACCATGCAGAGTTTGCGAATACTATATTCAGAGTGCCAAGCCATAGCAAGTCTTCTGGCGAAAGATCGCTTGTTCCAGGTCTGAAGTGGGTATACTTGATCGTGAAAGCTGCTTTATCCACGATTGGGAATGCCTTATGGACGTGATCAAAGTAGGACCGAACCAACGCGTCTGCGACTCTTGGATCCGGCCATTCAAACATGTCGACATTACCTACTTTGTCTTCTTCAAAATCGGCGTCCTCAGTGTAATAGGATGCTCGCGCGAAGAGGTTGTCCCGTTTGCCAATAGCTGCTGGGTTACTGTCGCCCAGACGACATTCTTCGGCAGTGCGCTTCGCCCAAGCAACGGCAGAGGACTTCCCTACAAGACCCGTAGCTCTGTTGTCATCTTGATCTGTATCCACATTAATGGCATCAATAGCCCCTGTTGAGCCGACTTCTGCCTCGTCATATTCCTCTTCGCTGCCTTCTGATAGTTCGCCGCCCGGCGAGACCGTGTGTCGAGATTCGCTTTCGCCTGCTGTTGAAACAGGGCTCTGTGTGTCCGATGAGCACGTTTTCTCATAGTTGGCTTGGACATACCATAGTTAGAATATTATCAATCGCATCTCTCATCTCCTCCTTGGACAATTCTGCACGCTGGATGCGTCGCAATCTTTCAACTATATCATGGTTATGCCGCGTTAGGAAGTCGGCCTCTTTGCTCAGATTCGAGAGTCTCCTCCTTTGATGTTAGCCTGCAATCAATCGGGGGATATGGGGGCCATACTTGCGATCTTTGTCCCGTTTTCCATCTCCGTACACGCAATGGAACCCAGCGTTTCTGCATTTCAGGCAAGGAAGTTCTCCAGTACATCCTGACTTTGACTTCCTGCATTTATCACATGCATGGGCAGTCCTCCCTCTTTTGAAAGCTGTTGAAGCAGATTCGTGTTTTCTGGATTGCTTTAGCTGGGGAATGGCGACCTTTCCCAAAGGCGCGTTGAGCAGGGGCAATTGCGGCTGTACGGCAGATCCACCGTTACTCGAAGCTTCGGCATGTTGATGTTGGGTAGGCTCTGGAGAGCCCCGGGACTGGATATCGAAAGATGTTGGCCCTGAAGCTCGCGCAGGTTCGAATGGATCGAAATTGTGCGATGTTTCGTCCTTACCCGAGCGCCCTTCAACGTCGTCTCGTGAACGCTTCCCACGAGCACGGGTATCTTGCGTGGGCATAGAAGGAAGCGTAATCAATGATCCACCTATGTACGAGTAAAGATGCAAGTAAAAAAGTCGCAATTGTCGTATTATAGCTGCAAAATGGCCACGACGATAGGTTCAGAGATAGTCAATGCTGGATGGTAGAGCATGGAGTGGAAGTAGGTGGTGATTGGGCGAGAGATAGGGCTTTGAGGACGATTGGATGTCCAAGGTATTTAACCCCCTTCGCCTACGAAGACGAAAGCTGAGGAGTAGAGAGTAGGTAGGTAGGGTAGATTTGGATCAGGTGTTTTTTTATTTATTTGAGGTGCAACAAGGGACTCAGAAGAGTACGAGATGATGCTGGAGAGGGACTGTTCTCGGGGAAAACATGAGGTGCAGATGAGGTGCAGACCTAGACTGTTGGATGTAGTGGCACGAGCGTGGGGAGCATGTCACTTGAGTTTTGGAAGGAATTCGGAGGCAGGTAGGGGGGGGGTAGGTACTGTACTGTGTACTGTACATAGGTCACGGAAGAAGATAAGACAAGAGTATGGTGTACTGTGAGGGAGGTAGGTACCTAGGCAAGCAGGTAGGCAAGCAGGTAGGCAAGCAAGCAGGTCAAATGAATCTTCCATGGCATATAGGTACGGAGTACAAGAAGGGGAGGGGGTGGGGGAGGGGTGATTCGGGTCTACGTCACTAGACGGATGTGCCGCTCTACTGGAGATGGCTGGCGATCCTACTCCGCATACTTACCTACCATCCTAGCAGCGGGCGTCCCCGTGGAAGAAACATCAGAAACAAGAAAATGGATAAGTCATCATCGAGAAGTTGAAATACCATCAGAGCGGAGCAGAGGGAAGGAATGGTACGTACCTTAGCTTAGGTACAAGACAAATTACGACCAAACCAGAGCAGAACGAGAATATACAAGCCCATTATATTAGAAGCTTATAGGTATAAGGCAAGTAAGTATGGGTACATTTTATTTTACCGTAAATAAAAGATGAGGTAGTGAAAAGCAACAGGACTTGACGTTCCAATCGACGCGCAGTGTCATCTCGGAGGCATCTCCGTATCCTCCCCTCCAAATACGTCATGCATATTATCATACGTCGATTACGTCCATCACAGTCCTGTACTACTCCTCCTCCCTGCTGTGGACAGAAATAAAGGCAGCCACCCCATCCGTATTGCTTTTTCTATTTACGCAGTCTTGCGAGCCAAGGAGAAATCGCATCGGAGGAGGAGTCCGAGTCCGCGAATCCCGAGGTATATAATAACGTCACAAGGTACCTTTTCCTTTTACTTGTACTCCTACAGGTGCCACGACGCGCCCGGTGAAAACTCCGTCGCCCCGCATCCCTCTGCCTCTAAAGACAACCAAGACAACCAAGATAACCTCCCTCTGCCACCTTACCTACCTACCTACTATACGAATCAACACCAATCTCGAATCATGCACATACCCAGCTCAGCTGCCTATCTATCCCTACGCCACCTTGCCTGATCTTGGGAAGACCCAGTCTCGACCGTCCGTGGCATACCACCATTTACGGATTGCATTGCATATATACAATCGAGTGTCGAACCAAAATATCGTGGACATCTCAAGCTGGAGATCGATGCATCATAGATATATCCTCAGGTGCATGATTATAAATGCATGCAGTCAAAATATCATGGGCGGACGACGGATAAACATGTCGATGCTGGATGCTTTGAAGCCAAAGCTATCAAATCGAAATCTCCATCCCAACGGTTGCACTTTCCAGTGGCATATGCGCTATTTTCGGTCCCAGGCTAAGCAAGATTCAGTACAGCGTCTGCCCAAATGTTTCAAGCTCTCTTGAGGGATTGCTATTTTCGAACAGTGGTATTGTATTCGCTATAGCTCTATGTAAGAGCTAAGACGAAAACGCTGCTGGAAGGGTCACAAGATGACAACGTCTCACATACTATCCTAACACTTTCTCAATACAAGAAAAAACTCAATACGAAAGCCAGACTAACGTTGTCTAGATCTAGAACGGCCACAATCAGTCGATCTCTGGCCATTAGTTAAATAATCCACGCTTGGATCTGAACTAGCTGACGGTGATTGGTCGAAGGATGTTCTCGATGTGTCAACGGTGTCTGTGGCGCTACAGGTGCTTCATGTGTTGAATACTGGCTCACAGCCATTCTCCCATCAAAAACGTCCCTACTTCCCTGACCGCTCAAAGGGGCTTGGACAGCAGCCATGCATGGTACTTTGCTGTGGGTATATATGCAGCGTATCCCTTGGCTACACACGAGATGGCGATTCATTTGCGGACACTCGGTCTCAGTCTTCCGCCCAGTCTCGTTGAACGAAGGTGAGCGCCCGAAATATTTGGCTGGACGTGTGCCTTGGATCGGGGGATCGGTTCACCGAGGACGTGGATCAGTCCTCCATCAGCATATAGACCTGTGTTACATGCAGCTTCCTATGCTGGATCATCCGGCCTTGATTGTCGGGAAAACGCACTTTGTTGATCTCCTACAGCGAGTGGAGGTGTAGGTGGAGGATTATGCCTCGCGGGGGCAACGTGATTGTTTGCCAATGGTGGAGGACTTGTACGCTGTACTAATGGAGTCCTATATTGAAAATCTGGCACGGTAGGTCGAAAAGGAAATGTAACTGTTGCCCGTTCTGCTTCCCGTTCACTTTGTTCCTTCGCGTCTGGAACAAATTGTCTGTTGCACGGTGTATCCGTCAAGAAACCTAGGAGCCGTGATTGTGACATTGTCGAACTGAGAGGTAGGTCTGCAATATCGGATGTCTGAGTAAGGATAGATGTAAGAGCGAGAGAATGTGGGTCGGCAATGAAAGCTGTAAGGATGAAGTTATTAATGTTTATAATGTTGGAATGACAGTTTGTTGTTTCGACAGATCAAAATCTGCAAAGGTTCCATGAGAATGAGAAAGGAGCGGCCTCGTCACTTGCACTGCGTTACGCTACCTCACTCTCGGGCAGGAGTGAGTTGCATGAGATGGCAGTATGATATGATTGACTTGAAAGATGCCACCTCATACAACAACTCTAAACATCCTCACGCTGAACACATAATCCCCACACCAGCAGTCAGTGGAATCGCGAATCATGATACCAGTACCTCGTACGTACTAATGGCCTCGATGGAACGCTGTTACGCATTTCACTGAACACAATGAACGACGTTGGCATGAAGCGGTAACACCATCCACCCAGTATATAATTAGAAGCTCAACATGGAAATACTTGATACACCAAGATGTTCCAAAAAGAAGAAAAAACAGGACGAAGTGATGAAAGTGTCCGTCCAGAGGCCGCTGTCGCCCTTTAAGCAATGATGAAAAACCACGAATCCGTGTTAGAATAAAAGAACACACATATTTTTCAACTGAGCTCCCTCCATCTATCCCTCATCGACCTTGGTGACTGGTGCTTGGGGGAAAAAGAAAACGAAGACGAACGAACCGCTGGTCCACTGCGCTGCACTCAAAACCGCTGAAGCGTTGAGGAAGGAAGGAAACGAGTCAGCGCAAAAAGGCCCTAGGCAGATACGGAATACGAAGGGGGAAATTGATACTCATAGGGGCAAGGCCTGGAAGTCTGGACTAGTGCGATTGATTTGAAGCTTTTGGTTCCAATACCTCCTTGGACGGCCCGGATATTACATTCCGAGACAAGCTCCGGAGTTGAGCGTCGTGTGAGGCTGGCTGGGCTGGCTGGGATGGGGCTCAGTGGGCTGACTGAAATGCAAAAGTAGCTCGAGATTAAGTGGGCGAAAACGTGATGCAAAAGGTGACCGCGGACTAGACTGGAGTGGACTGGAGTGGAGTGGACTGGACTGGACTGGACTGGGAAAATTCAATGGATTACTCTACAGAGTCTACACGTGTGTGTACGGAGTACGGCTGCAGAATGTCCGAAAATTTACCGTACCGTTCGAGATAGGAGGACGGTCAGGAATTGTAAAATGCTATTGGATTGGATTGGATTGGATTGGAATTGCTATTGGATTGGGCGTGTCGCTGCTGTGCTGAGTGTTGTTGAGTCTTGACTGACTCGGTACTCTCTTACGCGCTTCGCTTCATCGATTTACTCACCGTTGAGCACGGCGTACGTACTGTACTTGAGCACACACCAGCCGGCTGACAGCTGCAGTCCCCATTCTATCACGCACGCGCTGATACGCTGTAGTCTTTCCATCCAAATTTACACTGCCTCGTATACCAATATCACCGCGAGGTGACTAACTAGCACTGTTTGCTCAATGCAGCAAGAGTGAGAATGGTGCCAAGTTGACAGGCCATGATTATTCGTTGGTTCCTGGCCGGCTGCATAGGGCTAAGCTGGTTAGCTTCAGGGGCCGTGGGTAGCGTCAGGGGTAATTGGCACCTTTTCAGCGCTTGGTTGGGTTCCCCGCAAAGGTTGTGGACAGGGCATCGGGCCCAGATTTGAAGACCACCCACTGCTACCAGACTACTTCCAAGTGAACTTCGTACCTCCGTACCCCCCTTTTTCTTTCTCACTCTAAAGGCCCGCGCTATTGCTTGCTTGGGCTGGATCTACGCTAAGCGAAGACGAGCTATTCCCCTTTTTCCATAGGGTTAGCGACAGCCGCCTCAATACGAACCGTCCTCATTTCCTCTTTTATTTTGGCTTCTAGGCTTGAGGTCGGTTCGTCTCTAATTGGGACGCCTTCACCAGCCGCGCTTTGGGAATGCTTTCCTCTGTCCACTTAGTGCAATGTCCGCCCTTTTGATGGCAATCACAGCTTGGTATTTAGAAGCCTCAATTCCCCTTCACCTGTTCCTCTTTTTCTTTCCTCCCAAGCCTCTCTAACTTCATCCACATTCATTAATCAATAATCTTTGTATCTTCGATACACTTACACTCTTTACAACTCACTCATATTATATAATTCTTTTTGAAATCTTTTCAAAAACTCAATCCTACCAACCGTCAAAATGAAGGCCTCAATCATCACTCTTGCTCTCTCCGCGGCTCTTGCCACCGCCCAGAACACCACGGTCCCATACACCACCTCCACCCTCACCCAGACCAAGGTCTACACTGTTACGTAAGAGCCTCATCTCCAGAAACGATCCACATCCGCACAATACTGACCAGTATCTAGATCTTGCGCTGCCACAGTCACCGACTGCAGCCCGCATTGGCCAGGTCACCACTGAGATCTCAGTCACCACCACCTACTGCCCAGTGACCGGTGCTTCCAGCACCCCAATTGTCCTGTCTCCCCCAGTCACCGCTGCCTCCTCTGCCAGCACCCCACTCACCACCAGCACCAAGATCAAGACCAAGACCTACACCATCAGCAAGTGCGCAGCAACTGTCACCAACTGCCCATACGGATCGACCACCACCTCGACCTACGCGACCGTTGTTACATCCCCAGTCAGCAGCGCAGCCACTGGCTCAGTTACCGGTGGTGCTTCCGTCCCAGCCACTGGCTCAGTCACTGGTGGTGCTTCCGTCCCAGCGAAGTCAGCCTCATCAGTTGTCGTCTCCGTCCCAGTGACCACCCTCTCCCCACCTGTCAGCACGGCCCCAGCTTCCGCCCCAGCCACGCTCCCAGTCACCTCCGTCGTCACCATCTCCACCTGCGTACCAACCGTCATCACCTCCGTGGTGACCGTCTACCCCTCCTCCGCCCCCGCAACCACCGTTGTCTCCTCCGTGAAGAGCTACGGAACTGCTGCCCCATCGGCCCCAGTCACCTACAGCCCATCCACCAACACCACCATCGTTCCCTTCACCGGCGCTGCTTCAGCCCAGAAGGCCGGTGGTCTGTTGATGGCCGTCGGTCTCGCTGCTTTCCTCTTGTAAATGTGACGATCCTTACACATGGTACGGATGACATGCTTGCATTATATGCGGTTCGGAGTGATGGAAAAGGGGGTTTAGAAGGAATGGAGAATGGGGGATGGGTTTGGAAAGGATAAAATGGATTTTAACTACACGTACTGAATAATTTAACTTCTGACGCGATTATGAGGTACTCGTCGTGACTTCAAGCAATAAATATACGATCTCAATAACCTTCTCTGCGTCTAATATGACCCATTGCTTTTCCTTGTAACTGGCAAAAACATGCATCGTGCACTTTCACATATCCTCTAGAGTTAGACATTACCTCGCAACCGCTTCTACCAGGTCTAACCTTCAAGAAAAGAAAAGGGAAAGTAAGGCATGGTATTTGGTTGTTGTTAAGAAAGATACTCGTCATGGTCTGTCTGATGATGTAAAGTTGCTCGATTGATGAGATGACAACGATTATGATATGAAAGGAGTAGACATTATACGGATAACCTGATCAGTCTTAAAAACATAACTCTAACTCCCCCTTGTTCATCGATCGATAGCAATAGCTAGCTAGCTATAAAACAACTAGTGAATCTGCAAGTTGCTCGCTCGCGCTTTCCAATAACCGACATCCTAAGTTAGCATGTCTCAATCAAGGTCATACCAGAACAGCACTCACTTTCCTAATATGATATAATACTACCTTGAATGAGTAAGTATAAATACTCATCGATTCCATATCTTATCTTATCTTTCCTTACATCAGTAAAGTAAAGTAAGCAAGAACCATCATCCGATTGAATTATTACTTAGTCGCTCGCTATATGATTTCACATATACAGCTAGCTAGCCATACATGTCGACATCAGACCAAAGCAAGCTGGCAGCAACTAAAACTAATACGATCTCTTGTTCTGCAATTGATATACAGTACAGTATCGTTATGTATTACGTCTAGATAGATAGGATAGGTAGATAGATCTACACATATACCACACACCCAAAGGCTTTCTTTCTTTCTACAAACCCCACACCACACGACGACACCACAATATTCCACTTTGCAACGCCGCGAAACCGCTCTTCCTTTTGCAGTCAACAACCTCTCTATCTATCTCCTATCAAGAGCGAGAAAGACGCTCGTCCCGTTCCGTTTCGTTGTATACTACGGCGTGATACTGTCTGTACCTAATGTATTAAAAGCATACCCAGCATCTCCCTTCATGAATTTATTAACCCAAGCTCAGCAACATGACATGACAAGACATGTGCACCATCGTCATCATCTACAGTGCGAAACATCTGAACCCTTTCCCCGCACCGTCGGTCTTTACTTACCGCGCGGTAGTTATCGTTCGGGCATATAGAAGAGAGGCTATATGCAAACGTGAGTAGGTTGTTCGGTTGGGGTTGAGGAAATCATATATGTAAATGATGGTTTTTTTGCTACTGTACCTTGTTTATTGCATTGCGCATGAGGTGGGATGCGAGGAATGCCGGGTTTGATGGCAAGATGGTGGATTTCACGCGCATTGGGTGGATAGTGTTCGCTTTTTCGCTGCGTGAGGGTTTGTTAGATGAGATATGAGGTGCGGGTACATGAAGAAATGCTAGTTGTTTGTGTAGGACAAGGATGTTAATTGTAGCAGGAATGTGAAATGGATAATGGACCTTTCTTCTCTTAGAAGCTGAGCCGAGCAGATCATACTTATACATTCTATCTACATACAGTACAACCCCATCCCATCTACCAGTTCAGTCCATGTCATATATATACCTCCGCCTTACGTACTCCCTTCAGCAATCCTCCACGCCCTCAATGGCAACGCCTGCAACTTGAGAGCCGCCGGTTTGATGAAGCCCCAAAACGTCACGACGCCAATAAGCACACATACAATATTCATAACATAGTATCCATCCCGGCTCACATCGCAGATTCCCCCGCCTTGTATACACCGGTCTTTCTCTGCCGACAGGGAGCAGCTGAATGGGGAGGTAACGAGGGGTCCGTGGAGGCCGGCCGCGAGTTTATAGTCTGTGGGTGGGGGGAGGCAGGTGGCGACTGTAAAGAGATCGACGAGTTTCAGGACGAAGAAACGGGGGAATGTACCGCCTAGGTTAGATACGCTGTATAAAAACGATCATTAGCTCAGCTCAAACGAAAGCTAACAGGGGGAAGGAACATACGTAGCAAGCAAAGTCATATAAGTGCCCCCAATAACCGGATCCGCAATCCTTGCATGGAAAGCAGAGATGGCGACAAACATGACCGTGTTCGTAAACGTAGAAAAGATATGCTCCGCGATAACGACAAGCAGGTACCACGTATCAACGCCGTTTGCTGGGAAGATAATCACAGTGATTTGAGCAATAACAGCAGCTACTAGACGGCCTACAAAACCCCAACACCACAGCCGCATAGGCGTATAAGTAGTTGACCATTTCCCCGCATAATACCCCAACCCAATCTCAAAAGGAAAATCGATGAGCACTGTCAAGGCGAGATCTTCCTGGCTGAATCCTTTATCGATGAGCTTCAGATTGGTAACAGCATCGTTGGCTTGGAAGCCGATTTTAGCAATTAGATGGATGATGATTATGGTCTGGATGTTCTTGAGTTTCAACACGCCCCACATCACTTTATACACATCCCAAATGCCGTCCTCATTCTTAGTTTTCTCTTCTTTCTTCAGAACTGCGAGCCCGAGAGTGACGATTATGTATGCCCAGCCCCAAAACGTGAGATAGCCTCCAAGTGTCATGACGCCTTCGTCGAGTGGTGTCTTGCGGAACCATTTATTGGCAAAATCTGGCGAGTTGAAGGCGAGGAAGACGGTGTATGACATGAATTGCCCGGCTGTTAAGCCAACGGTTTGCGCGGTTGATGCGTAAGATATATTTCCGGGAGTTAAGAGAGTCAATGCCCATCCATCCACTGCGATATCTTGCGTCGCACACATGAACACTAGGAAGAACCACCAGCCTGTAAAGCCCCAGATTCCAGACCCGTCGTCTGCGCCCGCTGTAACCATCATACCCTTCACTCTTGAGCCAAGCCATAACATCCCGATCCCGGAGAGCATCTGAATAGGCATGATCCAACTCTTTCTCCTCCCAACCAGCGGCGTCCATATCGCGTCTACAATGGGACTCCATAACAGCTTCAAGGAGTACGGGTATGAAGCCAAACTGAATACACCCAGCGCACTATATGACAGATTTCTTCCTTTCAACAAGAATGGCACTGAACCCGTCGCGAGCCCCATCGGCACACCCTGCAAGAAGTATAGCAAAACCAGCAGTCCAAAATTCCTCCTATCCTGCATAGGCAGCTGGAAGAAGCCATGGTTGTTTATAGTCGGTGTTCGCGGCACATGGTCATCCAACGTAAACGACTCGCGCGTCATAAGATTCGTAGTGACGGCATTGGAATCCAGAGAAGCGTTTTTGCGCCGGTATTCGACATTATTATTCATGCTGCCGTTTGTGTGACCGTTTTCCCCTCCGCTAGAGGTAGAGCCGTTTGGCACCAATACGGATTTCGGGCGGCGCGATTTGGGCGGCATAGAATTATCGTCTGCGTCTTCTGAGTCTTCTGAAAAGTATTCGGGTGCGAGGAGGTGTTTGGAGTCTTCAGGAAGCTCTTTAATCTCAGTGTTTCTCTTGTGCCGTTGTCCGGATGGCGAAAGGGAGTCTAGTTCTTGGGAGTGCGGGAACTGCGCGTCGTGGTGGGAAGGAAGGTTATGTTGATGTAAAGGAGAGCGGAGAGAAGTCAGTGAGGGCAGTGTATCGTCCAGAGGGGTAGGCATCCATGTGATTGTGTGTTGGAGTCGAGCTTTAGAGGACTCGCTGGCCTCTAAAGTTGAGCAGCCAAACGAAGGAAGGACTAGGGATTTGTGCCACTACTCGACTGGCGTCGGTGGGGAGAAGCGAGTTGATGGATGGAACGTGTCCTTTTTGAGTGAGGGGAATAACAACAGAATAGTTGCAGAAATTGAAGATAGAGGCTTAATTCACAAAATACGGATATGGAAAAGATGAAGCCATACAGAACGACAAAGACACGATGAATATGACAACAACTCTCGACTCGAAAGTGAGACAACTTGCTCCCCCTTGATCTGTTTTGGCTTCCTTTCAGTCAAGCGTGGAGTGGAGCCTCAAGCTCAAGCCTCCCCGCCGTAGCACGTGACGGCCTGCGAAAGATACGCGTCACGTCCGCAGTGTTGATTTCGCAACATTCTTATTTTACAATTCAACAATTGATTCTATTCACGATAAACTATCCGCATAACTCATTGAGTATCTCAATCAAGCAAGCTTATTTCTCATGATGGACTCAACAGACGACTTCATCCCCACTGACGACGTCGGCCTCCAACTCGACGCCGAAATATCGACCCTTCAATCTCAAAGTAAACATCCCCTCATCTCATCCCAATACTATTCATACAACTAACACCCCTCAGTATCCGTCCTCAAAACCCAACGTTCTATCCAAACATCAACAATCCTCACATCGCGCTCCGCCCGCGCAACCCTCGTCCGCCTCCGCTCCTCCCAGAAACCCAAATCCCAACCTACCTCAAGTTCCACATCCACCCTCCCAAGCGACACAGACCCGCTCCTCACCACCACCAAAACGCACCTCCAGCACAAACAAGAAAACCTCTACCGAATATGCGGAACCATCACCACATTTCGAATCCGCGATCCAGATCCCTACGCCGTCGACAGCGGAAACGTGTTAGGGATCCGTATCGACGTGTCCAGTAACGGGAAGTTTATAAGGCCTTATTACGTTATGCTGAACAAGCCTTTTGCCGGTTCAGAATTGTTAAAGGTTCATAGGCATACAGTTCCGCCTTGTATCCCCCTCGCTGTCCTTGCGGAAAACTATTTGCCGACTGGAAAAGGAGCCACGAGTATATCTAGCAATGGGGGGGAGAAAGCGCCTGGTACGAAGACGCAGGATTTACGAAGGTTCGTCAGGGCGTTGAGGAAAGAGGTCGTGGGGTATCATAACCGTATCTCTATTATCAAGGGTCTCAGGAGAGAGTTCAGACTCGACGAGAAAGAGAGTAAGAAAGGGAAGGGGCGGGAGAAGGTCATCTCTGATATCAGTGCTGCGGATGCGGAGGCGAGACAGGTTAGGATTGAGTGGGTTGATGGGAGGATTGGAAGGTATCTTGTTGATGAGGGGGGAAGTGTGGTGAAGGCTGTTGTTATGGGGGAGCAGGGGAGGGATGGAGAGGTTGAGAGGGTGTTGGTTGGGGAAATGGCAGGCGTTGGAGAGAGGTTAAGGGAGGTGATTTATTGATCTTGTTATGGTATGTGTATGAGATGGGACGAAATGGGATCTTTGGAGTCAGGTGTTTGGTTGGTAGATACCCTCTTGAACGAATTGGTTGTAGCTTTGCTGCTAATGGAAGCACATTTGCCCAACACCTTCCCCGTCGATCTTATAACATGTTTGTTTTATCGTTGATTTTTATTTTGTAGCTCATGCGCTAGCCGTAAGGGGTGCTTTCTTTCGCTGCAAGATTATCAATATTGGATCAATCGTCTTGGTTGTTTTGTGGTGGGTCCTGTTGCTAAGCGAGGCAAAAGGGGGTAAGGTAGGCACAATGGTATCTAATGTTGAGGTTCCCACATATCAACTTTTGTTTCCCCGAGGACCGGTGCACGAATACAGATTCATAGCTATAGTTGGTGGGGTACGAGTTGATATCGTGATATACCTTATGCGGACAATAATAAGCATTTCACACTTTTATTGATCGTTTCCAAGTTTCCATACGGTCTTTCTTCAATTGCAATTTCTTTTTCTTTCCTATCTAATTTTCAAGTGGCGTTCCGAGTACAAACAATACAAGACAAGAGACGAATACGTCAACACGCAAGATAATAGGAATCAGTATGCGTCATCATAGAATCCTGGAGTTCTGTGTCGTCGAGTACAATACTAGGCTGTGGCACTGGGAATTCATCTTCGGGATATGGATTTTGTTCCATCCAGATTGGTACCGACTCTTCCTCTTGCAAAGAAGTTCTATCATTTTTCTTCACTGCTGGCCATCCTTCGTCACACCTGATTGTTCCATCTTCCATGATTATTCTTGCCCAGAAGCCTCCGGAAAACTCCAGATAGTCAAAGTCGATATTTGTGCAGCGGAGCCAGTACCATGTTTGCAAAGCAATACTATTTGTGAATATGGCCTTCGCTCTCGTATCAATCTCCCTGGTACATCTGTATACGTGCAGACCGGCTGTTCTTCCAAGAAGGGAATTTTGAAGATAAGATGCTTCGCTGTCGCAGTCTGCGGTGCCTCGAACAATGACTTTATGAACCGTCATACCCTCTTCACCGAACTCAGCTTTAGCTATAAGCGTATTTGCTCGACCTAAGATATAATCTATTGTCCATTCGCCATTGAAGTTTCTCTCTTTCGCCTCTGCTAGAGTCACAAAGGTATCGAAACTCGTTAGGTCTGACAATTGCCGCAGCCGGCACTCTTCACTCAGATTAGCCTCCATCCAAAGCCACCCCTGATCAATTGTCAGCGTCAATCTCTGCAACTGCAAGCCCCTGATTTCGAGCGTGCGGAGAGTGCAATATTGCCAACTCTCATAGAAGTTTAGGACGAGGTCTGTAGGTACCGGCCTCGCGAGCCCCTTCGAAGCCAATTCGTCAGAATCACGATCATCGCGTTGAAGGATCATTTTCTTGATCAACGTATGTCGTCGAACGACCTCAACCTGACGATACACTAGAGGCAGGAGAGACCGAAGCGGGAAAGAAAGAAATGTTCCGATCAAGGAGTATTTCAGGATCTTGTGTTTTAAAGATCTATCATGATCACAAGTGACGCAAAACGTGTTTTCACCGTAAAGAATTGGCATTCCTATCTCGTGCATCCGCTTACACGTTGCGAGGATATTAGGCCTCAGGAACATTTGAAAGTCGGCAGATGGCCCTCTTCTGTGCTTGGACGGTAGCCACGGATTTGCGATAGGGCCAGGAGCGACAAGAACAAAACTTAAGAAGTGTACAAGGATATCTATTGGTAGATGCCGTAGGGTATGGAGGTCTTCTAAAGGCTCTCGATTCCCAGTTATTTCTTCTCTCATAGGATGAGCGTTGAGGGAGGGCAACATATTGATATGGTGCACTTTAGGAATGATATCAATGGCAAGAAAGTTGTCCTGTGATGGGTTGACGGGCCCTGAGAGATCATCCCACCTTTCTGATTGAGTATTATCTGTTTTGAAAACCTCTTCTAGGCTGCCGGGCATCGAGTCTGTATCGCCCATTTCTGGATCCTCTTCTGGGCTGCCGGGTCTCGAGTGAGTATCTTCCATTTTTGAAGGACTATACTCCATCTCCATGAAAATGTCTTTCGTATTTGGGGGAGTATCGCTCGTTTCCGAATTGCCGTCGCGGGTAAATTCATCTGAAATATCGAGTATCGAGAAAGGATGTCGCGTTTCACGTGAAATGTTGTCCATTGGTGAATTTTCATCGTGTTCATCTTGAACACCAGGTATGCTGAAATAGGTGTTTTCCTAGAAAGAACCGTTAATTTCAAAGTCTTCTTCGGCAGGAGGTCCTTCTGGAGGCGTGGGTACCAAGAAAGTATCTCCCATTCCAAAGCGCGTACCCTCCATATCTGGTCCCTCGTCACGCCCTAATGCAACCTGGGTGCTATGGAGTCTCGAACGATTCCTGTCTTTATTCCCTGGAATGTCTCGATGTGTAGACGGCATAGCTCCGGCTACCGAAGTATGGCTATCACTCTCTCGCTTCTTGTCGTCTGAAGGATCGCTACCATGCTATGAATCCTCGCTGTCCATGTCCTGGTAAGTGCTATCCTCGGAACGGTTTGTGAAGTCTCACTATTATACTGGTAATAATAATGGTGCCTTACCCCTTGTAAACTCGTGGGGCGACCAACAGGCTTCTGGCGAAAGACATTCACTCCAAGAATTAAGGCGACGGGCACATTTGAGAAAGTACCGCGGATGAATTCTAATGGTCGGTCCTTCCTTCTTCGCTAAATTTATAAAGGAGGTGCAACTGAGCTGAGGCGGGCCTTGGCATTTTTGGTTGAGATCAGCGCCACGCCCTGCCCCTATAGCCTGCAAGACTGTACTACAATCTCGATCAAATGGGTGTTTTGGATCAAAACTGCTGGAAAGAGAGGAAGGGGAACAGATTTTTTATATGTAGTGATCTTCATTCGTTGTTACGTGTATTGAGACGACCAAAGAGTTACGCCGGTGAGGTACTTTTTGAACTTTGGTGTGCTCCCTACTTGATACCTGTTTCACTTGTTGCATTCATCATTACCTACATTTACCATTGCACCAATTCAGCATACTCCCCTCTCAACCGTCAAAAATTACCTCCGGCCACTTCGCACTCGGCCCCTCAAACAATTCTCCCGTTCCCCCCTTGAACCACAAATCAAAGAAATTAACCACATACGCACTCTCCAACTCAAACATATACGTCCCATTGAGGAACCCTTCATTTGCTGGATACCCATCGGGCCTCAACTCCTGCAGCAGGAACACGTTATCAGAATAATGATGATGCATCGTCTGATTAACCCTCAACGCATGTTTCCACCCCGCCAAACTCTCCCAGAACGTCGTCCAGCTCGGATCACCTTCATAGATGCCGTGACCTGCTGATGCGAGCATGAGGAAGGGGGAGGTGAGGTTGTATGTTTCGGCTGGTGGCGGGACGGAGCCATCCATGTTTATGCCGGCGATGAAGCGAGTGTCGTTTGCCATTACTTGGGATGCGGTGGCACCACCGAGGGAGTGGCCTAGCACTCCTACTTTGGATGTATTGAAGGGGGTTTTGAGGCCCGGAATAGTCTTGTGAGCGTTTTCTTCGAGGTGGTCCAGTATGAAAATTACGTCTGACGCGCGTTTGAGCATGAAGGGCGCGTAGAATTCCAGGGACTCGGTGTCGTCCTCTACGTACGAGGCGGTGCGTCCGTCGGGGTAGACGGTGAAGTCTGTGTCGTTGGGGTGGTCCATACTAACTACTATGTAGCCATTTGAGGCAATGTCTTGCGCAGCTCCGTTGTAGAGGAGTCGGGAGTTTCCATAACCCGGAGAAAAGAATAGGACGGGGTAGTGAGAGTTGTCTATCGGGGGTGAGTTGTAGGCGCGCTGGACCATGGTTGCATCTGAACCATTAGGAACTGCAAACCAGCCATCTGCCCAAGTGGCGAAGACGGGAGAGAAGTCGGGAGCGAGGGTGGTGTTTTTGCATAGTTCTTCAGAAGAGGGATAGTAAATTGATACCATGAGATCCCGGACTGGGTTCATCGATGTATTGTTCAACTCATAAGATACTACGCCAATTGGTAGAGATCCTGTTAAGGTGGGTGGAATGAAGATACTGTGACTAAGTGCAGCTAATCCAAGGAGGATGAGCGAAATTTGAAATTGAGCTATTAGAGGCATGACTTTGGATATTGAGTATAAAGCTCTTAGCTACATAGCAGACTACACAACTAAAAAGCAGAAGAAAAGAAAAGGAAAGGAAAGGAAATACTTATCTCGCAGACTGTTGCTACGCCTCCTGGAGCCCTGCTAGCCTGGCATATCAGCCTTCCGCCTTCCCGACCTTCCTAGAAGAGAAATTATCCATGCCAGACAAGAAAAACGAGACTGACTCAAAAGATAATAGGGCGTACACGGATCTACGAAGAACCTAGTAATAAGGACTTGCATATATTAAGTTGTCGGCTTGGCATAAACCCGAGAGCGGGGTGACGGGTTGCGGTAAAATGGCACACCACAGATACTCGAAGTCTTAGTAGTCCCTTTAAATGCAGCTAAATATAAATGGTGTTTGTAACAATCTTTTATATTAAAAAAAAAGAAAAATTTGGATTATATCAGAGAAAATCAAGGAGAGAAACTGCAAGATGTAACTGAGGAAAGAGCTGCCAGCCACTGGTATAACAACCGCAGAGATCACAATGAGGCTGCCCATGAAAAGTTAGCCACTTTTCCACAGCATACAGAGAAGGTCTCTGAGTTTTAGCATCAAATGCCGACCAATATTAGGGACAAGAACAGTATAAAGAAGAACAGAAGCGTTTATTTGTACTGGTACAAGTACTTGTACCGTACCCCTGAAGATATGCCCCTCCCCCTCCCCCGCCCCCGCTATGCGATAAGATAAGGAAATTCCATGTCGACGTCATCTGTTGTCATCCCCAATCCCAATTACAACATCCATCACATCTCCTTACATCTCTTCCTTTTCTTAGAACCCCTCAAATTCAACCTCTTCTATACCTCACTCACCTCAAGCACCCAACATGTCACATATCCTAATCATCGGCGCAACGCGTGGTCTCGGAGCCTCCCTCGCAAACCTCTACGCCTCCAGCCCCTCCAACACGGTCTACGGCACGACCCGTTCCCCCTCCGGCCCCAAGGGACTAAACGAGAAGATCGTCTGGGTACCCAATATTGACGTCTCGCAAGAAGGCGTAGGCGCTTCTCTTGTAAACCAGCTGGGACAGCTAGGTGTAGCGGGAGGAATGATCGAGGGAAAAGACGAAGTGCGCGGTTTCGACATCGTGGTCATCACAGCTGGATATTTCGCTACTGAAGACTTTACCAATGGGCCGAAATGGGCTGAACAGGTTAAGATGTATAGTGCGTCTCTCCCCTTCCCCCCCCCACCCCCCATGCTTTCCCCTCATAATCTAATATTTAAACCCAAACACTATCTAACACCTCCACAGCAACATCTTCCATCTCCCCACCCTTCATAATCCACTCCCTCACACGCGCGAAATTACTTCCCAAAGGTTCGAAGATTGTCCTGGTTAGTTCGGAATCCGGCAGTATAACTTTGAGACACGACAAAGAGGGAGGAGGGAACTACGCGCATCATGCTAGCAAGACGGCGTTGAATATGGTGGGAAAGCTGTTGAGTTTGGATTTGAAGGAGCACGGGGTCGTGGTTAGTATTGTGCATCCGGGGTTTATGAGGACGGAGATGACGAAAGGGGTTGGGTTTGATAAGTATTGGGATGATGGTGGCGGTGAGTTTACTTCTTTTACCAGCAACTACTTTCCTTGTTTTGATTTGCGGGAATTCTAAAGGAACGATGGCTGATATATGATAGCTGTTACACCTGATGAAGCTGCAAAAAGTCTAATAGAATGGACGGAGAAGCTGGATATAAGCAAGACTGGAGAGTATTGGGCGCCGAGGGGACCTAGTAAGTCATTTATGTTTCGTAGATAATAGGGTCCTAACAAGTTGTAGGGGATATTGGGACTGCAGAAGTGACACTTGGCAAGAACCTGTCCACACCATTGCAATTACCATGGTGAAAGCGCTCTGCAAGGAGTCGGAGTGAAGTACAAATATACCCTTGTAATAAATACCAAATCGTTCCACAATCAGTAATGCATCAACGTTCTATAACGAATACCATTGTGCGAATCTCATCACGAGCAAAGCAAGTGCCAAAACTCGTTTCCCCATTAACTAAAGTGAAAGGTATTCAATAACATCATCGCTGTTGCCTTTCCCACCCAGATACGCCTTCCTATCAAAACTACAATAGCCCATCTACAACGCAGCAAGCATCACAGCAACAATGCCAACGATTCCCCCAACACCCGCCAGCATAGTCGGCGCCCCACCCGCGGAGTTTGAAGTCGCAGCCGCGCTGCTGGATTTCGTAGGCGTACCCGATTCTGCTGTACTTGAGATCAGCTTTGTGGCAGTCGTACGCTCAGAAGTTCCGGAAGTCTTGGTGGTGATTTCAAGGGTGGTGCTGCCGGTTTCGCAAGCCGTAGCGGTGCCGGTGCTAGTGCTGTTAGTTGGGAGGATGAGGAGGCTGCTGGTGCCATTGATAGTATTTACGGAATACCTGATTGTGGTATCGATGGGTGAAGGTGACGTGTCGATGGTTGTGAGTGTTGGGGCCGTGGGGGGTGGGAAAATGCTTGCGAGGGTGGAGGTAGTTGTGGAGAGGAATGTGAGTCAGTTGTCTTCTTTTGGAGACGTTGGAGTGCGTGAATGAATGAAGTAGGAGTTTTGAAGAAAGAGAGGGTCTGGAGACGTATCTGTCTGCGAATACGGCGGGTCTTACCTGTACTGTTACCGGAAGCAAGAGAGGTGGGCAGAGCAGAGATGGAGAGCAACAGAGACAGCGACTGCGAATTCAGTTTCGTTGCATGCGGAAATCAGGCAGGGTGTGACGAGGCCTTGGATCTTGTCCCGGTCGGTGATGCATTGGCAGATGTAATCATTGGGACCACAGCCCGAAGATGCGATTGCGGATTCGAGGCAGGGGAGCTGTTGAGTTGTTAGATATATTGGATGTTGAAGCCGAGGAGAGGGAGAGAGGCAGGGCATACAGCGCACTGAGGTTCACCGTTGAAAACTTGAGCAGAGGCTAGGCCTGTGACAGCGAGGATGAGGAGTGTGATCTTCATGATTGATTTTAAGTGGAGTTGGGAGATGCGTTGAGGGTGAAGAAGCGAGTGTCAATGAAGTTCAACTGAAGGCCAAAACAAATACGTCTTCGACTTGTTTAGCAAACTTTTATTGTGATGAATCGCTAGGAAGTGGGGCATAGATCGAAAAGGCGGGGTTCGGAAAGGGAAGTAATGGGCTTGAGACCGAAATAACAAGCTGGAAAGTATTGAGATAAAGAGAGCGGGACCTAAGCGGTAGTTTGACATCCTAGGATGCGGCGTTGGCTGAGACTGAAACTGAAAGCCAAGCCGACCAACGAAAGAGCGCTCCTCCGTTTGCACGCACAACACTTCCCTTGAAAATTGAATTGATCAGCGAAGAAATGCCAAAAACTCCGGTTTAATGAAAGTTGACATGAAAATGAACATCCAAACCCCAAAAAGAGCGAAATAAGACCAGTCATAATGTAAAGGTTGCCTGGAAAGAAAGCACTTGTTCACACGAAGCAAAAAAGGAATGCGCTAAACGAGAGTCGAACTCGTGTCTCCACCTTTTCACTGATGATAGATAATATGGGAAGGTGACAGGCTAACCACTGCCCCATTAGCGCTACGATCCTCCTGTTTTCGTGTTATTTCAACTCTTAAAGGGTGCTTTGGAAAAGGGGTGTCGCCAGGGTCGCTTGCCAGGGGCTCGCTTAAACCACGCTAAGATAGGAGGCCGATAAGGATTCTCAAAGTCCAGACGTCACGTCCAAAGAGCAAATTTATTTCTTTTACCAGCAGGCAAATCAGTATGCTGCGAGACGATGAGGTCTTCCCAATGGCAGGACGAACATACACTGTCAATGTTGATGGTCTAGTACCAGAAGAAGATAGTATACAGCACGAAACATCCTACCCCAATAACGATTTCGACGATGTCTTTGGATCCGCCCCTCCTTCTCCCACCTTCGAAAATCCTAGAGGCGGCAACTTAGAACCGTCAGATGTGCCACGGTTGAAAGAGAAACACGAGACAGAGGGATATAGAGATGGTGTATCGAAGGGCAAGGCGGAAACGGTGCAAGCGGGATTTGATGAGGGGTATGGGCTCGGTGCTGTGCTGGGCCTGAGGATCGGGAAGATTTTGGGTCTGTTGGAGGGGATTTGGAGGGCTGTGCATGCTGGGGAGGATGGGGAAAGGCTGGAGGGCTTATACGAGGACGCGAAGAAGGATTTGAAGACGGAGAGTGTTTTTGGGAGGGAATGGTGGGGTGAGGATGGGATCTGGACGTTTGAGGTTCCTGGTGAGGGGTTGGAAGGGAAGGAGGTCACATTTCCGGATGTTGCTGGAGCTCATCCTCTGATTGTGAAGTGGGAGCTTATAATCGAAGCAGAGGTCAAGAGGTGGGGTTTGGATTTGAGTCTTATGGGTACGGAGCATACACAAGAGGAGAGGAGCCACGATGTGGGAACTAAAGATGTCACAGAGGCTCCTCGACTGCCCGGGGCTCAAAAAGCAGAATTGAGCTGGTGAAAGGGGCCAATGCTTGCTCTGTGCCAGTGATGCTCTCCAAACACGGTCCGACGTTAGACGGCGGAAATAACTATTCCACACGAACGTTTCCTGTCAGTCGGGAAGCTGCAGCCTTCTTTGGAACTGGTCATACTTCACAAGGGAGGGCGTTTCTAGGAGTCGCACCAGTACGACATGAGGTAAACGGATTGGCTTCAGTGCCTTCAGAAGCTTTATCTCGGGCGGCTTGAACTGTCGTGGAAGTTATGAGATGACGGCTTAAGGGTCCCTGGAAACCTTGTCGCCGACCTTGGGAATTGATCGCTGACCATACCATATGCCAAATCTTCAGACCAGCGGCTCGTTCCATGACAGCCCTTTTTGTCCCATAGACCAAGTAATCCGAGCCGTCTATTGACCAAAACTCTCGCATAATTCGTGTTATCCATGTCCAAATTCTTATTCCGGCGGTGGGCTACGAAAATGCTTTGTCTTGCGAGGAAAGCCATGGAAGCATGTTGCTCGGATCAGATGCCATCGGATTACAGACTCGCGCCTTGGACGATCTTTTTCTGCTACCTATCGTGCCCATGACTGAAAGTGCTTGAGCAGAAACTATCAGAAAACATTATAGTGGAAATTAAGGTAGAGTCACAGCCTAATATTGAATGAGAGAAAAGAAAAACACATTTTCGACTGCGCTGAATGTAATTAAAGAGCATCTTGATTCCTTTGCTTCCGCGTTGCCTCCTCATTGCTTCGTTGCTTCGCCGTTGCTATCCGCGAGGAGGTTGCGTTGCGGTTTCCTCGTTTTCTGCCATTTTGCTTGTTTACCCTTCTTCCCTTCTTCCCTTCTTCCCTTCTACCTGCCGTCTCCATGCTTTTTTCCCTCTTCATCAACATCAACACCTCAAATAACCTAAATTGATTCTTCTCAGGGCTCAGTCTACTGATTGAGTCTTCCATTCCATTCATTTTGCATACAATCAAGCATTCAATTATACTTCCCTACATCACATTCTCTCCTCCCAACCCAGCAAACAGACAACACTCGACCGGGTCAACCCGTTTGCCATACTACTCTCAACCCTTCGACGTGAGTTGCTATATTTCATACATACTGCGCGCAATCTACGAGGATTCAGGATCCAGAAGTCTTGCCAATGACCTCGGCGGGCTTGTTGATTCACATCTTGCGACTCTCAATTTCTCTGGCCGAGAACCACATTCACTTGCTCTGCTCCAGCTAGCTGCACATCCAATGTCACAGTCTGTGGCTATTCAACTTATCTAGAAACGACTGACATATCTGTCCATCCTTCTGCTGACAGCTCCCACATTCTTCTTCATCATAAATCTAAATTGACGCTCCCTAGGTTTATCAGAACTATGAAGACTACTACTATCATCTCTCTCGGCTTTGCCGCCACAGCCTGTGCGAACATAGTCATCAACCATGTTCCCTTGACATGCGACCCAAACAGCCCCAAAGTTTACCATGGTTGTCTTCGTGGCCAAGAATGTATGGACGACGGCAGGTTAGTTACCCCCCTAACAACACAGGATTCGTGACTGACGCTTTCTCAGCTGCATAGCCTCTAAAAACATCGACTACCCTATCTCCTTCCGCCCCGTAATTGACAACATGCCCAGAGACGCACCGGTATACTCTACCGACGGAGATTGCGGTCCCAATTCCGGCAATACCATATGTGATCCAAATAGTACGGTTTATTCTGGTGGATGTTGCTCGGTACGTCCTATGGTGTAGCCTTTGAGCATGCGAGGCTGATATGGGACTAGCAATACGGATTCTGCGGAAACACTGACAAGTAAGTGAATTGTATTATGCTCTGGTTGTAGCGATGACTGACAATAATGTAGTCATTGTGGTGATGGATGTATCTCTGGATGCAAGCCTCGCCCAGACGGACAATGTGGAACCAAATTCGGTGGCGCTCCTTGCGACCCGAAGGGTGCTTACGGAGGATGCTGTTCTTCATACGGGCATGTTATTCTGATCAGGTTCTCTTTTTTGAAGCTCTCAATCTAACATATGCTTCTATAGATACTGCGGCTCTACACCAGAACACTGCCTTACAATTAATGGATGCCAAAATGGCTGCACAGATGGTCCATCTACCACGCCTGTGATTGCTGACCCACCGCCGACTTCGACCCCTGCTGAGCCTGTTATCGGACCCGTGTCGACGACAACAGCACCTGGAGCTACGGCAACCGGTGTTGTAACCACTGATGGAAGTTGTGGTACCTCGAATAACAACACTGTCTGTGGTAACTGGCAAAATGGGAACTGTTGTTCCATGTATGGATTTTGGTAAGCAAGCATCTTGAACATTATAGAACCGGAATCTGACAATGGGTAGTGGGAGCACCAGTGCACATTGTGGTGCCGGATGTCAATCTGGGAATTGCCTCAACGCTCCAGCCGTGGCTGCTCCAGGTCCAAGTCCAGCACCTCCCGCTCCAAATGGAGGATCCTTTGCCGTTATCGGTCAATCTGGCGTCCCCGCAATGCACGCTGCTCTTATGCCAAATGGCCGTGTGATGATCCTTGATAAGCTGGAGAACTACACGCAAATAAAGAATGCAGATGGCTTCTATGCAATGTCTTCAGAGTATGACCCTGGGACCAACAAGGTTGTACCTCTCGCATACTTGACGAATGCGTTTTGCTCAGGTGGTGTATTCTTGGCAGATGGGCGTGTCGTATCTCTTGGAGGCAATGCTCCATTGTTATTCATTAATCCTAACATTGGTGATGGATTCAATGCCATTCGATACCTGTCTCGATCAGCAACGGATGCAAACCTCGACGGTCAAAGCTGGAGTGAACCTGGGAATAAACTCGCTAGTAATCGATGGTATGCCACTGCTCAGACAATGCCTGACGGAACAGTATTCGTCGCCTCCGGAAGTCTCAACGGTTTTGACCCTACAGTTATATCCAATAACAACCCGACGTATGAGATCCTCAATCCAGTGGCTGTGTCGCAAGGCAAGAACATCCCCTTGGCCATCTTGACCAAAAACCAACCTTACTATATGTACCCCTTCGTTCATCTCCTGAGAGATGGCACCCTCTTCCTGTTCGTCGCCAAAGCATCGCAAATATTTGACGTTCAATCCAATACTGTCATCAAAGAGCTTCCGGATCTCATTGGCGACTATAGAACGTACCCAAACACTGGTGGTAGCGTCCTACTTCCCCTTTCTAGCGCGAACATCTGGGAGCCAGAGATTATCATTTGTGGGGGCGGTGCCTACCAGAATATCAACGCTCCCACGGATCCAAGCTGTGGTCGCATCGAACCTCTAAGCACAGACCCAAAGTGGGAAATGGACTCTATGCCTGCAGGTCGGGGTATGGTGGAAGGAACATTGCTTCCGGATGGAACAATTGTATGGCTCAATGGTGGTAACCGCGGCGCCCAAGGATTTGGACTCATGAAAGATCCAGAACTAGGGGCTCTTATGTATGATCCTTCCAAGCCACTTGGTCAGAGATTCACCACTCTTGCAATCTCCGCCATTCCTCGACTTTACCACTCCGTCGCACTTCTGCTGCTTGACGGTACTCTGATGGTCACTGGATCTAATCCTGTGGAGATGCCCATACTGACCCCCAGTGCTCAAAATCCCTATGTCACGGAGTTTCGAGTTGAGAAGTATGTCCCGCCATACTTGCAAGGCGAGAACGCAAACAGACGCCCCACAAACATCAATATCTCGTCACATACCATCAAGGCTGATGGAGGCAAGTTTGTGGTCACCTTCAACGCTCCTGCCAACGCACAAAAGGGACAGGTGGTGTTGTATCACGGCGGATTCGTGACTCATTCGGTGCATATGGGTCATCGCATGTTAGAGCTGGACATTCAAGGTTGGGTAGTAGGAGGAGTTCAGCAAAGCCTGACAGTCTTCGCTCCTCCGAACAACAACGTCGCCCCTCCCGGACCATACGTAGTTTACATCATGGTTGATGGTGTACCAGCAATGGGACAATTCGTTCAGATTTCTTGATCTCCGCAGGTGGTAAGATAGACTAGGATTGCACATATTTGGTGTTTTGCAGCATGGCGATGGCGTACGGAGTAGAATTGTAAACGAATGGAAATTTGGGCCAATGGCGAATAGGCGCGCGCTTGATAGATGATAAATTGGAAGTTGGTTCTTTAGTAACCTCTTATACAACTCTTTTCAAGTAATCCCGAGAACCAACATTCGGTGAAGAGACAATAAAGGATAGTGGTTCGTTTTGGAAGCGCTGAAGGAGCCCATGAAACTAGGTGGAGTGGTTTTAGCGGGGGCCGAACGACGCCACGACGCCAAGCTACAGGGCTGAAACAAGTATACGCTTCTTTTATCCCCGCCTCCATCCAATTTGAAAAAGGATTCCTAGTAGTATAAAGAGAAGGAGCAATACCCTCTCATATCCGCACACATCAGTGAGAAGTAGGGTATTCCATAAATACGTATAAACTTCATTGGACAACATACGACAAAACACGAGCTATCACATAAAACAGCCCCCAAAGCAACGACACGCTAAATATAGCGCTTGGGCATCCGTTGTTAATGCAGTGCAGTCGTTGGGGCTGCAAGGCTAATGCACCGAGGTTTATTCGCTTTTCAGCTGACTTATCCTCATCCATTCTTCTCCCTTCGTTCACGCAAATCCCGTATTTTTTGCTTGTTGATTGACGAAGAGGGGACTCGAATAAAGGCAACATGTCTCTAGATCCACGCGATTCCCGCACAAGAGCCCGGTCTAAGAGTCCGGGCCGTCGCGATGCCTCGCGTAGTAGAGGTGATGGGGGGGAAGAGAGGGAGCATTCGCGGGTCAGGGCGCCGAGTCCGCCTACGAGTCGGTATGAGGAACGGGAAACTACGATTACTCGAGGAGGGAGGGAGAGGGAGCCGGATATTGTGACTGCTGAGCCTAGAGGGTTGGCGTATGGTGCAGCGTCGCAGTATCGAGATCACTCCCCCGCACCTGGTGCGCGCGAACGCGAACGTGAACGCGATCCGTATGCGGTGCCTGGTGGATTCAAGGAGGAGGAGGAGCGACGCGATGTTAGGTACAACGACAGCAGAGGGGGGAGGGAGAAGGAATATTACAAGGAGAACACTTATTCGAGGGAGGAAGTGTATAAGGATGAGTATGGACGGCCCACGAGCCCGCCTTCGAGGGAGAGATATGAGTATGAGAGGGAGCGCGAGAGGGAGCGCGAGAGAGAAAAGGAGAGAGATCCGAGACTCTACGAGGATCAACATGCCAGACAGAGGAGCGGCTCGTTCAATGTCCAGGCGGGGCATTCGAGTATCTCTGGTGGCATCAGTATCGGGCACGATAAACATGGAAGGTCACCATACGAGCAATCTCCTTCTCCTCCTCATGGCCCTCCTCCTGGTTCTTCCTATATGCCGCCCTATAGAACGTCGCCGCCTTCCAAGATGTCCTCGTATGCGGAGCCGAAGAAGTGGGAGTATGCGCAGCCAGATGAAAATATCACCTATTCGAGGCAAGATAAAACGTATGGGGCTCGTCCTGCCAGTCCTCCGCAACAATACAACTCGAGGGACTCGAAACCGCAATCTCGTCGTGATCGTGAACGCCATGGCAGCAGCGATGCGCTGGCCTATGGAGCGGATTCTTCTGCGAGGTCTTCTAAGTCGCAGATTGTTACTGTTGAGCCTGGAGCACGATATCGTCGAGATGCTTCACCGAATCCAGGACTGGCTCCTAGAATGCACTCACTTTCCGTATCTACCGGAAATCATGGTGGAGCTTCAATGAGTCTAGCAAATGCGCCAGGGTCACCATTACTCGAAGCATACCACGGCACATACCAATCAATCTCGCCCATGCCATCACCACTTCTCATAGCCTCCCACTCACACTCCGACGTCAACTTGATAGAACCGCTCTCCCCATACGGTTCCGACGATGACCGAAGAGGAGGCAAGAAAGGTAGACGAACAGCACGCTTCCACGACCCAGAAGAGGAAGCAACCATCTTAGCCAAAGCCCTAAAAGGCGAAAAGCGCCACCCAGACACCCAGCCTCTCATCGAAATCCTTCCCGGTCTTACACACGAACAAGTGCTCGACCTGCGGGTGGAATATAAACGGATCGTCAAAACGGGTTCGGAGAAAAAAGGCGTCAATATTGCTAAGCACATTAAGATGCGTTTGAAAGAAGAAGATTCCTCGCTCATGAAAGCTTGCTATGCTTGCGCGTTGGGGAAATGGGAAAGTGAGGCGTATTGGGCGAATTTCTGGTACCAAGGCGAGAAATCACGACGCGAGCTATTGATTGAATCCCTGATGGGGCGTACGAACCGCGAGATCAGGCAAATCAAAGACGGGTTCTCGGATAAGAAGTACAGCGATAGTCTAGTCAAGTGCATGAAGACCGAGCTCAAGGAAGATAAGTTTAAGAAAGCGGTTCTATTAGTTCTTGACGAGAGGAAGATGGAGGAGCGGCCGGGGTATGGAATCGATCGTGATTTGCTAGAGGATGATGTGCGGGATTTGCACAAGGCGGTTAGGAGTGAGAAGGGGGGCGAGAGCGCAATGATTGGCATTATTGTTGTGAGGAGTGATTCTCATTTGAAAGAGGTGCTTAGGGCGTATGAGAGTACATACCGAGCGAACTTTGCAAGGGAGATGTTAAAGAAGAGTGGCAATTTGGTTGTATGTCTACCCTCCCCTCCTATCATTTCCTCAAATTCAAAGCAAAACTGACTTTGTATATCCAACAGGGCGAACTCCTAGCACACATCCTCAACGGCGTAATCAACAAGCCGGTCCGCGACGCCCTGCTCGTGCACCATGCGCTCTCCCTCTCCAAATCAGACAGCATCCGAACCGAGCTCCTCATCTCGCGTCTCGTGCGCTACCATTGGGACCGTCCGCACATGGAGGCCGTGAAGAGGGAGTACAGGAATCGCTACGGCATTGAGATGCAGAAGGCTGTCGCCGAGGGCACGCGCAGTGATTGGGGACGCTTTTGTGAGATGCTATGTGTGAGACGCATGGGGGATGAGGTTAGGGAGGTTACGAGGGTCGATGAATATTCTGAGAGGAGGATTGAGAGGCATTAATGGGAGTTTGAATGGGTTATCGCGAGATGGATGGTTCATTTTACGCTTTTGTTTTAGTAGGATTAGGTATGCGGTGGGTGGATGGATGGATGGATGGATGATCTTATGAGGATTTTCCTTAGTCCGGAGGGATGATTGATGTGTCTGGGCTTCCTTGCCTGCTGAATTTACGGATCGACTATACGTCATACCATATCGTTGCAATTTTCATATCCATTTTTATATCCCTTTATTTTCGCTTTTGAAATGGAAGATGCTTGTTTATCAAGTGATTCAGTTCCGACCATGACTTCCCTAGCAACGGACTGCTCATTTGGACGTCACCAAACTGAAAGCCAAACCAGGTTATTGATGGAACATCATATTAAGCATCAAATATCCTCTGAATTTTGATCGATAGCAAACCCCGCTCCAGCGCGACAACGTATATGCACCAGCCTTTTGCCGATAAAGTTACAAAGCAGACCTCGCCGACATGGACTCTGGAATCTTGTAGGAAGGGTTTCATAGAATGGTAGATCCGGATCAGTCTTTCACTTTCTTTATGTACTAGAACGGCGGCAAACTTTTACGAGAGACGCTACCCCAGAAAAGTCCCAGCCGTTGCGTTCTTATTGCGTGCGACTCATGGGAGGATCAAGAATTGTATGAAGATGGCATTGTAATTTTGACACATATCTTTTGACGTCAATAAACGTTTAATTGACCCTCACTGTCACTATCTAGAACCATACGCAAGTGCGGAGAAGTCTGATGCATTCTCTCATCAGTAATACGAATATTATTATAGGATACATTCTTATTCCAACTCCGTGTTAGCCACGCAGCACATTGATTTAGAAGATCCATCCCACCAAGTCCTCTCTTTGCCTCTCTAGACTTGCTGCACCACTAGAATTGGCACCTACTGCGCCATCCAAACTACCTGCAGTCCATTCAGTTTCGATATTCTGACCGAAACCATCAGAGTTGTTGTGGACAACTAGCATAGCACCTTTTCCTAATTTTGGAATACGATCTCTAGCTTCCCCTAAATCATATTCGCCGCCTTTGCCCTGAAATAGGTCTTTTTTGCTGCACACTTCTATGTGGGATTGTTTTTCTAGTGCCTTTTTGAGTAGTTTCAAGGCCGGCTTGTCCTCATAGTCGTTGAATCCAAACACTCTCATGTTATTGAACTTGTTCTCCTGGGACACGAGCTTCAATGCCATGATAAGAAGCCGGTTTAAAATGGTTGCTCCCATTTTTCGCGCAAATATGGATGGTGGGTCGTAGGTGTATACATAGCCCTGTGGGCACATGCTTTCTAGTGCAGAAATTTCGTTGCGTACTTGGTGTATGGTTGTGTTGAGGAGCAGTTCTAACGAGACAACTTGGTTGCAAGGAAGTTCTGTGAATCTTGTGGAAATCGTGTTTTCAAAATTCGTAAGTAAATGGGACTCTGGAGCTGTTATCAGACCCTCGATGTATGTGATACTGTCTTGAACCGACAAGCAAAACTCCGTATCAATCTTGTTTCTCGCAGGCAGCAAACGGTCCTTTGTCAAGTGATACACCATATGTCTGCGCAGCAGGCCATCGTAATCATTCCTCGGCCTATCATCTTGTTTCTCATCTCTCGTTATAATTTCCAAATCAGCATTCTCAAGCAGGTCCTTTCCGTGAACTTCTTGACCACGCAATCTCGCGACCTCTAACATAACATCCCGCCCCTCGAAATCCATCTGAATAGAGGCACTCAGCACCACATTCCTCACCGTCCGTATCCCATTTTGATTCCCGAATTTCGTAACGCCATGTCCAAAGCTATACCGATAGTCACCCGTCATCACAGCAGCCATGACCGGCGTGACGAAAGTATGCATGGCGCCTTCCATATTCGTGATCTCGTCTGCTCTGCCCTTCGCATTTCTACCGATAGACACAAACTTAACGCCGAGAGCGCTGCTTTTCTTATTGCGCATTAGATGCTCGATCATGTTTCCCGGGACAAATGAGCTGGCGCTGATGAGGGGTGGTGATACTAGCGAGAGGTTCTTGAGGTAGAAGTTGCGGGGTGAGCTGTTGGTGGGGACTGGGCTCGTGACGAGGATGTCTGAGCAGAGATCTGGTGGACAGCTGAATAGCTTTGAGTTTTGTTTGAGTTCGTAATTCATTTTCATTGATTTGTTATGTTTCTTTTGAGTTTGGAGAGCAGATGTTGATTTGTTGGTGGTGAGTCTACGGCTAGTAGGCTGCCTATAATGCGCCACGTGAGGAATGTTTCTATTAATAGCCCCAATTCATTACATATTCCCCTAAAATACTGCGTAAATTATTTTGTTTTGCATTAGATAAAATGAACTTCTAAAATTAATTGAGAAGGTAAATGGAATGTTGAAACAAGCCAGTAACAGGGAAGCCAAAGATATTTCGAGTGAACAAAACAATAGCATTGTTCTATAATACGCATGTGTATATAAATTCTGATGCGTACAAGACCATTCCTATTCTGTCTTACACCTACATACATACCAACCTGAACAGGCACCAAAATGGAAAACTCAATTAGCACAACAAAGCCACTCGAGGCATCGTCTAAAGACAGAGTCTTCACAAAGTTCCCTGAACTCCCAGCAGAGCTTAGGCTTAGGATTCTAGATTTCGCTGCACTGCAGAATCAAATCGTTTGTTTGGAAGTGAAGCAGGAAGATTTCGTGGACCTCACGACTCCACCCTCCAGTACAGTCCGCGCACCTTCCATTGGAATGTTGTCAGCAACCTATGAAACCCGCAGCACGATATCGAAGGACTGGAAACCCAGCTTCAGATCTTGGACTATGCGCCCAATATACTTCAACCCGGATCGAGATGTCCTCTTTTTGATGGACAGGAGCGCTCTCTCGAAATTCGCAAGTAGTACGACTACCAATGCGGAGGCAGAATCTACGCGTTTTATAGCCTTGAATCCGAGCTTCGAATTCGAACGTCTCTGTGGGCAGATGAATTCTGGCGATTACGATATAGCCATTTGGGAATCCTATTTTTTGATGAGGACCTTACTTAAAAATTGCCGAAACCTTGACGAGATCGTTTTCACGGTAGAAAAATACTCCAATGAAGAGAATGCTAGACTGACAAAGCGGCTGAAAGAACTGTATGATAGTGTTCAAGGCATGCTGAGACTTGAATTTAAGCCATGCCCCCCAGATTGGGTCAATGGAAAAGTGCCGAGAATGCCAGTATTTTCGCTTTTGAATTACAACCCTACTCCCGAGGGCATTGCGGAGATGGATGAGGAATTGGTTGCCAGAAGAATGTCTGCTGCCAGGCTCTCTAAGTAGACCAAGCCCGAAAGCATGGTTGCGAATGAGGTTATACTGGGAAACCTGGGAACAAATTGAGTAAATATTATAGTTGTAGGTGAGATCAGAATAGAATTCCTGGTCATGAAAAATAGAACAGAGAGCGGACAGGGAGTAAAATTATGCTAAACAATAAATGAATTATTCCCCCCCAGATTCCATCGTCCTGGGCATCAATAAAGTTCCATTATACCTAAACCAACCAGGTAAATCCTTGGTCTAAATGAAAAGTTCAAATTGTAAATTCAGAATCAAAAAGCGACTGCATTAACCACCGGTGCGATCATAAAATAATTTGAAGCATGTGAACCCGACTATACTGCCTTTATCCAAAACCACTAATCTCCTTGCGGCATATATAGAAGACTAAGTGCTGCCACATGATGGTGGTTCGCTGAAGTCCATTTGCCCTGAAGATTTAGAAGAGTCGCTCTTGATTTGGTCCTCGTACTCCTGCTCAAAGAAGAATTTATCTCCGCCGAACGCGGGATTCAAGTCACTAAGCCAGGTAGCTTTGGGATCGAACTTTGCGTAGAATGGCGCTTTCGTCCACGCAGGGTTGCGCGCTTGGAGGAACTTCAGGTTGAAGACTTTTTGGAGTCCCTTGCCATCTTCGGAGGGGATGTCACTGATTCCCTCGATCTCAATTTTTCCTGGTCCTGCTGACATCGATGGCCCTCTTACAGTACGTCCGCAACCGGAAGCTGCAGATTTTGCGTCGTTGAAGATCTCGTAAGCGCGGGCTAATGGCACAGAGAAATAATCGTGAGCGCCGGTATCTCGCTCAATAAACCTTTTGCACGTTACATGTTAGCATAACTTGTAGTTAGTTTACGAATACTCCCGAAATCTTACATGTAATATGGAATAGCTCCTAGTTTCACCTGTTGATTCCACATCTCGGTCCACACGGGGGCTGAATCATTGATACCACGGACCAGTGGGCTCTGGGTTCTGATGTTGGCACCAGTCTTTCGAATTAGGCGCATCGCCTCCTGGACTTCTAAGGTTTCCAGCTCACGAGGGTGAGTGAAATGCGCTTGTATCGTCAGGTGCTTCCCTGAACTTACAATCTCTTCGAAGTATTTGAGCGTCGTTGTCGCCTCTGGATCCGTAGTGAAACGATATGCTATCAACGAATTAGCATGAGAAAAAGCGGAGTTGGGGGAAGGAGCTAAGGAGCTAAAGAACTTAGGAGCTGTCTCAAGAGCCGGGACCCCATATAATGCGGATCACTTTTCTTTGGCTCCTGACACAGGTCTCAGCCCCAGAACTAGAAATCAAGGCTTCACTGTAGGGAAATATATCTTACGCCAATAAGCAAGGGACTTTGTGCCGATTCGAATGGTGTCCAGATGACTTGTGGCGGGGTTATTCAGCAGTGGGTTGACGTAAGCTCGTATCATCTCCGATGTCATTACCATGGGGTCGCCGCCGGTGAACAGAACATCTTTGACTTGTCGATGCTGAGCGATGTATTCCATCAGAAGTTGCGGAACTTTGCCTTTAAACTGTTGCTTGGATCCGACATCTGTAAACTGTGCCCAACGAAAGCAGTATGTACAGAAAGCATGACAGAATTGACCCTAAACAATATCTGTTGGCATTCATGCTTACTGACAGACGAGCCAAAGACAAACGAACCGGAGACAAACCAACCTCTGCCGGAAAGAATAGTACTGTCTCCTGGTATTTATGCTGACAGCCCAGAACATCACGGCCCTCAAGCTTGGGGACATTTTCTTCTTTTTGGCCAGCAGGATGAGGATTGAGGCCGTTTCTGATTAATTTAGCTCTATCGACTATAAAGTTTCTCTTGCACCTCTCTTTTACGTGGTCACACATCTCTGTAGTGAGGATTGCTGACAACATGCTTTCGAGTTGTTCCGGCTTTAGCATGTCTGGCTGTGGGAAAGTGAGGCGAAATATGGGGTCTTCAGGGACATTTGACCTAGAGAGAATAAGGATCAAGATGTAAAAGGCCACCTGCGCGCCGTGAAAAGGGAAGTCAGGGAGTGAAAATATATGAAGTCATACCAGTCAATTAACTTGTTTATAACGTAAGGATTATTCCTGAACGGAAAAACAGAAGCTGCAGCATCATAATGCCGAGCGTTAAGATGGGGGGCGCGAGCGGCGAGTAGTGGTTTGATGATGTTCTTGCTGTACAATTCCCACTTCATGTTGGCGAGTGTAGAGAGTTGGTCGTAGGATAGGTACGTTATTGTAGAAATGATCAAGTAGCTGAGGATGCTATCTAGTAATAGCTTAACGGCGTGAAGCAATCAAAGCAGTGAACTACTTGGTGGCTTGATGATTTGAACTAGAATGGAAGCAGAATAGGAATTCGCTGTCTACTAGCAGACCGAGTATTGTCGTGGCGAAGAGGTTGGAACTCTGAAGTAAGGAATTTGATTGCTGTGAAGAAAAGGGCCGACAAGAGACAATGACCGGTAGGACTGTGTAGCATATATACATTGCCATCTATAGGGGCTCATGGGTCGACTCTTTTGGCAACCCACGAGCGTTGCACAGCTGGAGCCTCTGCGTCCAAATAGGGACGCCTTCCCGACCCACCGACTCGGTATGTGGTGTTATGCACTGGGCTATACCAGATATCCTTGTTCTGCCATATTAATCCGCATGTACAGTCAGCTTTTTGCTAGCTCTCATAAATTTGATCATGTACAACACGACAAATCATAAAGCTGAGTTGGGCTGGCCCCCAGACTAATTGTTGGTATCCCCGCCAGATCCTGGTAACACAAGCTTGCAAATGTCACACCAAGTTCTACAAAATCTTTCATTGGCTAATATGGAAACGCCATTTAATTATGTTGTAAGAAAGTAGTCAGATTCGAGCTCAATATATCAATCAGCTGAAGTAAAAGCATTTGTAAGTAAAAAGACGAGTTGAAGAGCGGGAACGAGGCCTTGTACCCTCACAGAATTGGTGCCAAAATCCGAAGCGAAATGCGGTAGAATGTACATCCAACTGGGGTGAACTCGCAAGCGGGATAGAACACTAGGATCATGCTGGATATCTCTGTCGAGTATCTCTCACGTTTACTGGAATAGAAGTTTATCTAATCATCGACGATCGCCTTCGGAGACTTCTTCCGGATAACAAACCAACAATTCTGTATTTGTGATTTCCCGATGCGAAGGCTAAGAACAAAGTGTAGGCGGCGAGGAAAAAGCCTCTGGGAAAAGATTTGTGACGATTCCTCAGCACTGGGAATCCGCTGACAATGCAGAAAACGGTATGATCGAAGGTGATCGCACCATGTCTAGACGACCACAAAGAATAAGTATCCTGTGACCTTTTCACGGCTCTATGTCAGCGTAGACGGAACATCTAGGAACCGAAGCAAACAAGAATGTCACGACCCAACCAATCGATTTTGATCTTGGCACTGTTTGAGGCAGGTAAAAACTAATGCGGGCCTCAAGTTGTCGTTGTCAGGCCGTCCTGCATCGCATCCTGGATAAAGATGGTCATCCGCAATGGTTCTATCGCAAGAATGAAGCGAATTCCGGGAAACAAGTGTCGGTAATACGCTCTTCATCTTCGAAGCAGAGTCCGTATCACGAGCAGCAATCATCGATCTCCGTGTTGTAAATATGTGGGCGCGGCGCCAAGGACATGACAGAGAAGCGACCAATGAAATTGCTAGGGGTTCAGACCCCTGCGACCCAAGTCCTTGGCCCAAGGCAAGTCACAGGGATGAAGATAGTAGACTTGCAGCCAGTGGGTGGGTCTTACCAAAGCAATTGTTTTTGGTCTTCAAATGGTTGCAACTATGCACAGAACGATGTGAAATGCAATCGCACCGAAGAAATAAATGAATTTATCCTAGTAGAGACATGAACATGCTAGGAAAATAGTGTCCCACTAGGTAGGCTGCTTTAGTTGTATACGTTAATTCCCAGCCAGAATAGAAATTGAGGCAGCGGAAGAGATACTTGGATATTCTCATATCATGGTCTCAAAGTGAGGATAATTCAATTTTGCCATTTGGCTAGTGTGGTAGATTCTGCAGGGTCTCTAGTCGTCACAGCGTAATATTCCACTAGAAGTATAGAGAATAGGGCAAGAGGCTTCAAGACAAGAAACGCATGAGCAGCACTTGCTCTAGAATGTGCCCAAAAGCCACTTGGCATGTAATCGAGGCCGGTCCAATTTGTCGAGCCGCATCGAAGTCGAAGAATCTGGGGAAATGGCACCACTGAAATGTTCCACAAATACGGTTCCAATGATAACAGTCTCGCAGGGCTTCGCATTCGTGATCCAGATCTACCAAACACGAACCCCTAGAATCACCATATCAAGTTCGAAGGAGGCCCTGCCTGCTATCATTGTAGGGTATTGCCTTCCTAGTTCGATGAAGGACGTTGCAACCGTTCTGCTCAGAACCATACCCAGTACCACTATTGTTGTTGATGAAATATGTTTGCTGACCATATGGCCTGACCCAACTTATTGGCTGACTGCGAAAGCTAAGCAATTCAGGTATGTCGAAGAACGCCGCGTCTGGCATGTGAACGTGTCGCTCGAAGCATGTCGACAGAGCTGGGAGGATTATTCGGAAGACAGGTCCGGCATACAGTGATGACTGCAGTATACATGAAGTAGCATGGAGGTTTGTAGATGGGATGAAGAGAGTTACGGTGATTATTTCGGGCAAATCCCTCCGGTAGGGGTTTCCCCGTCACTAAAAAGGAGTCAAAATCGCGGCAAGCAAGAGCAGAAAGAACACGTCATCCACTCCCCATGATCTACCGGTCTGCCATGCCAGGCGCAATTTTCTGGAACAGATGATCGTGTTGATTGAGGGAGGTCAGAATGATTGTCCAGAACGCACACGCGGGTGATGTTGATGAAGTGTTGTTGAGAAATTGGAATGACTCGCAAGCACCGCAAGCGCAGTGTTAAGACGAGTCAGGGAATGATCCACAATGAACAATTCCATATTCAGGCAAAGATTTGGCATGTCATTGGAGGGCCAAGTGGCACGAGTTCTTTCACAAAAGCAATTGTATTTTTTCATGTTGAGTAACCTCAAACATCATGCAGACAGCCAATCAGATTTTTTGGCAATTCTATGCATCCCCTGCCTTGCTGTGTCATCTAGAAAATGGTTCGATATCGTCTATCCATGTCTGACTTGAAACACACGAGTTAGAATTTCGAATTCTTGTTATAACGTTCAAGTACAAGAGTACAATCAAAGCGTGGGCTTTTGGTAGTGGACTCTGTGTGAAGTCACTGTTCAATTGAAACAAATCATAAGAGTTCGTCGAATTCTCAGCAATTACTCAATAAACTACCCGGGAAAATAGCCTAACCGGAAGATATAAAGAAAAGCACCGAGCAGCGTATGATGGTGGAGTCGTTATAAGAATAGGGATTTTTGCGAGGGTAAAGTAAGGTATCCATTGGCTATATAGCTCCTTAGATGTGATCATTTATGCTTTATCTGGAGATCAAACAGCCGAAAGACCCTCTTTTTAATAGAAGAGGTATATTTCCGGCGCAAAAACCCATAGGAAGCCATCAAAATACTTTTTGCAAGTTAGGTGGCAATACTCTGTACCTTCGTGTCTGTATTTTGATACGCTCACCTCATAAAAGGAAGCCAGAGACGAAAATACACGTACTGACTACGTACTTTGCTTTTGGGAACAGCCGCGTTCTTCCAACCTATCTCTTATGCCAACGAATTTCTGAACCCTTCAGACATATGTTTTCTAAGAGTCTAGCTTAGCAATCAGACTCTGTCAAGGTTCCCATTTACTCTCATCCAAAACACTTTCACATACCTGGGAGCCCTCATAGGTGAGGCTCGATTTGGTTGGACCGGACACTGAGGCTGAAGGGTTAGTCTTATCACCAACGAATCCCAAATCAACCTTGCTGCTTCGTCGCATCATGGAAGGTAAGGGCCCGCCCATTGCAAAGAGGATGCTCCAGTAGCTATCTAGCGAACTCTGTTGGAACCGTCCGAAGGTTTGTGATTGCGCATTCCGGGAAACGTAACCGTTATTCTACGACTAACCGGGGAAGCAACATGAACTTTCCGGATTGCTGCCAACATGGTGACGTGGATCTAGAGTCGTTCCCGGTTCCCTGGAACCACCCTCCAAATACATCCGGCCAGCGGTGAAATGTAATCCTTGGAGAACGAAGGAGGCTCGGAAGCTTACTCCGTAGAATATGCAGTGTGATTGGGGCTCCTGCAGCCCTGCGGCGCGTGTTGTCAAAGGTCGAGAGTATGGAGTATGGCGGCCGGTTTGCTGCCCTCTCAAAAGTAGGGACAGAGGATAACCAACAGGATCAACACAAATTTCGCCGATGAAGATAGCAAATACCACCTCTACAATTGTACTCGATGGTTCCAACTTTTATACCAACAAGACACAACACCAGCATTATTTCCGGCGTCGGTATTCCCGGCCTTGCGAAGTATGGTCCAGTCATTTGCAATATATTTGAACTATGTCGTACCAGCATCCACCAGTTGTGGGAGAAAGAGGTAGGAGTGGCATCCCAGGGCTTAGGCGGAAACTTTGCAACTAGTTTGGACCGAGATATAATCTGAGCAGGTCGTTCCGGGAAAGTTATCGACGTGGACGACGAGGTGGTATCTATAAAAATCTTAGTAAGTGAAACTATGGAAAATGAAGAGGCTATGGTAAATAACGTTCAACAATGAGTCAACATTCGAATTCCCAATGAGCCTTACCCTATCAAAGATCACCCCTTAGTGTTTTGGTCTGCTAGACCTAGAGATACACCGTCACAAAATTGTCACAAAATCAACGGCTACTCTTTGATTGCTATTTGATGACCCTAACGGAACTGTACCTACCAATCTACAAGAATATATGGAAACAATGCTGACAACCTGATTTCAGCTTGGAAATTTCCTTTTACGAGGGGCTTATACGCATAGAGCTAAGTAGCTAGTTGAAAATCCATCAGGAAATTTCACTGAATGATCCTTCTCTCTTGTAGACAGATGGAGGTAGTCGCGCGGTTTCCTCGAGATGGCTAGACCCTACTGCAAGGAACTAATGCTGCGGACACTTGAACGACTGCTGAGTTCTTGCTCTGCAGGAACTAAAGAGTTTTTGACTCTTGCGAAAAGTTGTTGAAAGAGTAAGAGAAGACGAAGCTACTGAAAGAGCGGAAAATTACAAGTTTGGTCACGTGCCTACGACTACTGCTTTCTACCCCGCGCCTGAGCCCCGCGCCATCCCGTTCCCCTCTCCTCTTCTGCACCAATTCCGGGACCGGATTAAATGCCGGAGGGAACAATCAGTGGGATGAAGATGAGTGGGGATTCCTGATTCTCTCTTCCCTTCTTTTCTTTTGCTTTCCGTTCCTCCTTTTTATATCTATCTCCGTATACAAAAGCGTCTCAATTGTTTCACTATTCATCATGGCAGACACACGTTTCAAGCTGAACACGGGTGCTGAAATCCCAGCGCTGGGTCTGGGAACTTGGCAGTCCGCCCCTGGGGAGGTCAAGAAAGCAGTCTCCTATGCGCTGTCTATTGGATACAGACACATTGATGCTGGTATGGCAACCTTCACCTTAAGTCTGCGATGCAGCGTCAACTAATCAGTCTAGCCTACTGTTATGCCAACGAAGACGAAGTGGGAGAAGGGCTGAAAGAAGCCTTCAAGAGTGGTATTAAGAGAGAAGATGTTTTCGTCACCACAAAACTCTGGTGTACCTACCACTCTCGGGTCGAGCAAGCTCTGGACACGAGTTTGAAAAGCCTGGGTCTAGATTACGTTGATCTATATCTCGTACATTGGCCTATTGCGATGAATCCTAATGGCAAGTCCTGCTCCTATCTTGTTCCTGCATCATATACCATTGCTAACACAACTTTGTAGGGAACCACGAGAAGTTTCCCAAGCTCCCTGACGGCTCGCGTGATCTGGTCAGGGAACACTCACATATACAAACATGGAAGTCGATGGAGAAGCTGCTAGCAACAGGCAAGGTGAAAGCTATTGGGGTGGCAAATTATAGCGTTCGATACCTGGAGGAATTGCTGCCGCAGGCCACAGTCGTGCCTGCTGTGAATCAGATTGAGAATCATCCCTCTCTACCACAGCAGGAGATTGTGGACTTCTGCAAGTCAAAGGGAATTCACATCACGGCATACAGCCCCCTTGGTAGTACTGGAAGCCCGATGTTCAAAGCAGAACCTGTCGTGGAAGTTGCAAAGAGGCGCAACGTTACACCTGCCTCTGTACTGCTGAGCTATCATAGTGAGTTCCAAGGATTATTCGATTTATGTATACTAACAGCACTAGTCGCCCGAGGAAGTTCTGTGCTAGCCAAGTCTGTTACTCCTGAAAGGATAAAGGCAAATATGGACCTGATCATTCTCGATAAGTCGGACATGAAGGTCCTCACGGATTACTCCAAGGATTTAGAGAAATCTGGAAAGCTTGTCCGATATGTCTATCCTGAATTCGGAGTTGATTTTGGATTCCCTGATAAGTCTTGAGGGATTGTTGGGAAAACATCCATGAGTATGAGAAGAGACCTTCACGTGTTACCGTTAGAAAGCAAATTGCGAGTTGATTTAGACCCTCCAGCATTATATAGATGATATCTCCGCATCCATCTTTAGATTTACATCAGATTTTAATTACCTTCATCCTAGCCTAGGAAGTATTCGACCAACTTTGCGCTTCTCTGTTATCCTCTACTGGTTCCAGTCAGCCTTCCCCATCTACTTGTTTGCTTTTAATTATGTTTTCCCCGCAAGATGATCACCCAAAGATTGTCCTAGATAGGGGACTTACAAATTAGACCAATTCGCTGACGTAAAGCACGAATAGACTTCAGGCTTCAGGCTGAAGCTCCATAGATTGGCTACGGAGTAGAATTGATGCCTAAAGCACAACCACGCCTCACGCTAAGGGGGCGCTAATCCCCCTCGTCACGTGTACTCGAGTATGTGACAGACTTCATTCGTTTTAAGACCTGATCAGACTGTCTATTCAAATCTTTTCTGCAACACAAAAACATGGCAAGTCCAATCCTCGCTCTCCCAGACGAGCTTTACCTACGCATTGCGGGATTACTCGACCCTCGCGCACTTCTCCAATTAGCCCTAACACACCACCGAGCACTTCGCTGCTCTCAGGATTTGCTCAGGTTTCACCGAACATGGGACGTCAAGTATCGGATCATTCATGACCGCAGGCCACTGTTCGTTCCAAAGCTCCTCACTGAGGGCTTATTAGATCCTCGTGCTGGACTGTGGCATCTGCGCCGCTTCGAGACCTGGGGGACGCGTTTGAATTGGGGGGACTGGGACACGCTTGACGTAAATTCGCATCATTACGGTCTTGGAACAGCCGGTGGCCCGGTGGAAAGAGATGATAATACTCATCTAAAGGCTAGCTACTACAGCAATGAGATTTTGGAGGCCATGGAAGAAGTCATGCAGACGCAGTTATTCTTGAGTGAGACGGAAACAGAAAAATGGATGGATGGTGTTCGTGTAGGTTCCGACGAGGTTTTGAAAGGCTTGATGATGGCTCTTGCTCCCAACCTGCACACAGTGATATTCATTGCGTAAGTTATATTGCATTCCAACTACCGAATACGAAGTTGATATCTATCAGACATTCTCTAGACGGTTACCATCCTCTAAGCTTTCTTGGGCAGGCTATTTCAAGAATTGCAGAGTCATCACCCACGCCCACATGGCCGCCGGGATTCGAATCTTTGACTAGCATTTCAGTTGCAAGTTACACCGACCTGCAACACCCACACAACAACTTCTATTGTCCCTCCTCAGCTATTGCGTGTCTTTTTCGCCTCCCAAATCTCAAGGATTTGATCCTAAATGTCGTAGGATATCAAGATAGTGAGGAGTGGGAGTTACCCGCTAGTAGCTCATCAATCGAGAGGCTCAAATTTGATTGCTGCCAGATATCCCAGGAGACGATTGAGAAGCTAGTGAACGCTTGTCGTAGGCTGAAATGCCTAGAAGTGGATCGGTTTCTGTGTACTACTGAGAGCTTGGAGTATTTTATCTTCTCCAATAGTCATTTAAAAAATGCCCTCGAGCGAATCAATGGAGTTCCCGTCGACATGTGGTTTAAGGGTAAAAACGACCTTTATAGGTATCCGTATATTCCAAATCCAAGGGATGACCGCCACGAAAGCGAGACCCAACGAACCGTATGGCTCGTCGATGATTGCCTGGTCAAGGTTGATGATGGCGCTGCTCGCGACGATGCGTTTGAGCTGGAGAATTACCTGCCTTTTCATTTCCCCCTCAGGCGTAATACTGTGGAGCCGACTCTATGGTTTCAGCTCCGGGACTTAAGAGATTTGGATCTGCCGCTCAAAGTCGAAAAGCTATTTTTCAGGATGACGCACAATAGGCAACGAGTTAGGGAATGTTTCGTGAAACCGTCGCCTCAGCACCAGCCAGCCGTGGCGCGTTTGCTGTTACAGAAGATCGTGGAGCTAGTTGAGGACCCCCGTTACAGCTCACTCAAACAGATTTGTTTATTCGACCTCGTCAGTGTTCCAGTTCATATAGATGAGTGGAATGATGACGATACGGCTTTTGTGTGGGATGAGGATGCATATCGAAAGATCGTGGCGAGGGGCGTGGATTTACATCGGCCAAGTCGAGATGGCCCACTTACGAGAGAGGAAGAGCAAAGGGAGAAAATTATTCACCGTGAGAAGCATGCAGACCCGAATGTGGAAATATTGCACGATATTCACATGACGGACCCAAGGATAGGACATCCGTTCCATGCTGGAAAGGTGTTTCCAATCTTTGAATCGTAGTGAACTACAAGATGGACTCGCTTGCTTATATATGGTGATTGAACAAGCCACTTGTGTTTATACTATCTATAATTGTTGCAAGAACCAGGATTTATGGATAATAAGAAGCTCAATTCATAACTAGCTAGAAGTGAGGAACTCTATATAGGCCCCCAAGAACACGCTAAGGCTGTGTCATATGGTGTCTGATTAGTCAGAGCACCAGCTCGCAACAACAATGCTTGTCCTAAGTCCTTTCACTTACAAGGTCGCCTGCTATTAATATGTGACTTAGAAGTAGTCCCGCAAGTTTTGGCTAAAGCCAGCTGTTGTGCAATCTCAAATGTGCTCGATTCCTGGAGTTAAAAAAGGGACCAGATAACTGATCTGAACGAAGATGCTAGCATTTAGCTTTGCATGTGTTGAGTTGGAGTTACTTTGGTAATCTCAGACGACAATTTCTTCAAATTCGCTTCCAGCCCGATTGGTTATCATCGCTGCTGTACTTAGGCGCTACTCACCCTCGCCTCACCGTCTGCTCAGGTTGCGACTATATGCAGGGAGACCGATTTGGCTCCCCAAGGATCGCAACTGGAGCCCCCTTAAGAATAAACTATTCAATCTCTCAAGGCACAATTCTCTTATAACCTGATGCAGTATCGGTTCTTGCCCTAGGCAACGACAAACAAGCATGCAGACACAACAGGACCAAGAATGGCAAAAGAGTACACTTCGAAGTGGTTGCGTTTAAAGTGTGACGCGTTAACTTATTATAATATTATCTATCTGCCTTATTCATACTTCAAATCAAGGTAGTCCGAATTGCAATACTATAATTCGGACTGCTTCAGCCTAGTAGAGCTCAGAGCAAGTCAAAAATTCGCACGTCTTGTAAGGCTCTTTTGGCGGTCCTGTTAGAAGGTCGCTTGATGAGGCTTAGTACTCGGCGAGTTGAGTAACCAGGTCAGATGTACGTCGCAGCAGCTCCGGCGGACCTAAGCCACATCAGTTAAAAATTGCCAAGCATGTCCGCAGGACGTCCGTCCGACATACACCCCGAGGCGAGTTGTGGTAGCTTGAAGGCATTTCAGTATGAATAATCAGCGCCTTCAACGAGAGACCGCCCTAGACCACCTAAACTCAGTGTCCGCCAAAAGCGGTATGACAATCATCAAAAACCATTTGCTATAAGCTGGGTTAGTTCCACCCTTTCCTCCATCTAAGTTTCAAAGTCATTTACGCTTCATCGTCTGAGTCCTCAGTTATCATTGTCAATCTGCGCTCCATATAGCGAGCATCGGTAGGGTGGACAGGACCTAAGTGAGGGTGTAGCGATTGGCTCCTGTCCACATCATCTTACATCCCGTTGGCCGCCCTGCGTGGCTAGGACAACGCTTACACGAAATTTGCAATCGGAAATTTCAGAGCGCATCTCGTAGATCCTTTCATCGCATCTCAGCTTTGCCCAACATGAATTCTAAAGGTAGCGTTGGCAATATCCTCGCTCTATCGAAACTAGCTATGCAGGTACATCGGTCATTCTTTCTGCACGAATCTATGCTGATAACCTGTTATCTAGCTTTACAGCAGCCTCATCGCTGCGCCAGATGATCTGAAGAGAATCTCGGGCCAAGTCTGGTCGTTGCAAGCAATTCTGAAATTGCTTCAAGAAACGAAGCAAAATATAACCCTGTCTGATGGAGACGAGGATCATTTGGATCATTTGGCACAAGGCTGCTGCACAATTCTTTCGCAACTGGAAACAATCATCAAAAGATCTCAAAGTATGGGCAAGCAGAGATTCTCTAGGACTGTGAATCATGCTGTCTCAAGTTTTGCAGATACTCCAGAGCTCCAGCAGAAGCTTGTTCTCCAATTGAGCTTGTTGACAAGCTTCCAATTAGGCTTGGCAAAGTAAATTAACTTCTTACACCCTCATAAGAACATACTACTGACATTGTGATCTTCAAGCCGTGGCCAAGTCAGGATTAAATACGCACTTCAAGCTATTTCGAAAGCAGTACGAGCTGGACACCGACCTAGCTCTATCCTCGAAGCCAAAGCCATTTGCAATGAAGCAGAGGACATGACCACAATTTGGTTTCGAATCGAATCAGAGTTAGAAGGCGAGGGTATAGAGAAGAGTGATATCAAGATCAATAAAAGCTATATTCACAGTTGGATACAGACAGCACTGGCCGCAGGAAGCTTAGACAGAACCGCACCAACAGACGCTATCTCCGATCATGACATATCTTGGCACAGTCATACTTCACCGCCCACAGCTGAAATGATCACACGATCATGGATTGAGGCAATCAGCTTGCGCATAGACTTGTTGAAGCCAAAAAGCTCAGATGTGATACGGTCTGCAATGGCTGCCAGCAGTTTTATGGAAACTTCTCCTCCGACCTGGCTGCCGAGTAGATTGCCACACCAAAGTCAAGTAAGTACATGGCATCCAATGTCCGGGCACAACAGGGAATACGTGCATCAAGGATTATTGCAACTGGCTATACCAGATATAAAACTTTTGCTAGATTGTGAAAGTCGACAAGGCTTAATAAAGAGCGTATTCTATCAAATGGATTGGATGGAAGAAGCAAATATCTCTAGACATGAGGTTCTTGATATATGGACGTCTGTCGCCGAAGAATTTAACGCCAAATTAAAGCCAGGAAGAATGATCAGCATTGTGCGAAGTGGTGATGGGAATAAAGACGGTATGATAGATCTGAAGGAATTCATCAAAATATCTGAGGATATTGTTGATGAGATTGAGAAGTTTCACGAAGAAAAGCTGCAAGAAATGATTGCCGTAACCAGGAACGAAGCACTCCAAAATGAGGCAACGGCGCTTGACAAATTACACCTCGAAAATCCTTTCCAAGCACCAATTCCTTGGGGCTGGAACCATGTTCCACCCGATTCCTTTCAAGACATGGTCTCAGGGTATCAAACTAGGAAGCTACCGGAAATTGATCAGCGCTCTTTCAGTTGTATGGCCTATTCAACTACACCAAGATGTCTTGACCGGATTCATCGTTTTATCGACGACTATCGAATATCAATAATAGCGGACAATAGCACCCGAGACATGAATATCTCGAATGCTCTTGACACTATCAAGAAGGCAGTCTTAAAATTTGTGAACCTGGAAAACAAGACAAAGCCGGAGGCTTGGTACAGTGACCTTGACGATATGGTCTCTGAGTACCGCATTATACGTACTGTAGAGCCCAAACACGCCCTTCTCAAAGACTTTCCGGTAAAATCAATGGTTAGTATGGCTCGTGCGTATCAGGTACTTCTTGATCACGTACTGAGCTTTCTCTACGCCATGGACCAAGCCTACAACCTCAAAAAGACTTACATCTCGGCTAACCAAACCTCTGCTTTCAGGATTATCTTTGGCCCTGCCTGGTTAGCAATGAGAATGGAGACAAGAGCACGACTTGTGAGCGCACAGCTTACAGTCTGGGATGAGGTGGAGGAAGCAGTGAGGAAGTGCAGGACATGGGCCGAGACGAAACCAGGTCTAGCCGATAAGGCAATAGCAATTTCCAAGGCCGAAAACAAGGTCGCCAAAGATAAAGTCCAAGCCATGTATGAGGAGAGTCGTAGGATTTCTGAAATTCTTGAGGATAAACAACCTCTTGTGCGTTTCAAAATTCACTCAGCTCGAGGTCTCCCCAAGACCCAATGGGTAATATTCACCCAACTACCAAATCCCTTCGCAGTACTTTATGAAGGCGGATCTAAGAAATCCGAGACAGGCATAGCATTAGATACTGTGGATCCCGACTGGCAACACCCTTGGACATCCTTTAAACTCGGTAATGCGGAGTCGAAAAGCCCATCCACGCTCCCGATAATTTCTGTTTTCCATGGTGTCTCTGAGGAAAAAAGAATAGAACCAAAGTACTTAATTGGAAAAACTGAATCTATCAGCGTGGACAAACATCTTTCAGATTATAGTAACCACCAGAAGACTCCAGAACTATCATTTAAAGGTCATTCTCTTTTCGAGCCATTCTCAGGTAAACAAAACCCTCCTTTCGATAATTTCCAGCAATTCAGCTAACAGTAATCTAAGGGGATGTTAAGCTGGGTCTATTACATCCCTCTCAAGGCACCATCACTGCCCGACTTGAGTGGGAGGGGTTATCGAACCTTGTACGAAAGGAGAAACTGCAACTCAGGGAGTTTCTTGAGGCCAACCCTAGCTACCGATCCTTCTTCCCAAAGGAGGTAGAGCAGTACAAAGCTACTGATGCTCTTACTGCTGATCAGGTTGTGTTGAGCAGCAGGTTTACGGAGCGAGACCCCTTGCTGGCGTTCTTAACGCTGCCAAAGGATTGGCGACTTCGTGGGATCTCAAAAGCTTACTACATTGGTTCTAAGGTTTTTGAGGATGAAGATAAAATGGGTTTGAAACCAGGGGGCCAGTTCTCACCGCACATTGAAAAGCGCATCCAAGAGAATGGCAGAGTTTATTTTGCGAACCACGAAACCCAGACAACTTCATGGAATGATCCTCGACTTTCAAAGTCTGAAATTGAAAAGTGCATC